TGATAACCTGGAAGCACTGGATGACCATTTCGTCCTAGTATGCGTCTAGCTTAGCTCGACTTATGATTTAAACTTTGAAAACACAACAATCTCCACAAATCCCTATCTTGATACCGTGTTAGGTGTGAAGCAGTTACTCATCAAAGACAGTGAAAGATTTTCGCGTAACACGGTGGATTGATCGTAGTTAGACATTAACACCGAAGGATGTCAGCTCAGTGGTCTGAAATTTAAGAGTTCGCGCGCGATGCCAAAGGTTATAGGTTCGAGTCTAACAAGTGAGATCATGGATGCGCACTGCTGATGACGCCGTCCAGTGCTCTCAGGTTGCTTGTGGTGGTTTAACATTTATCGGTCCATGGTCCCAAGTAAAAATAAAATATGAATGATTACTGTGTGGTCAAGCGTTATGTAGAGATTTGTTTGAAGATTTAAAAATAACATTTATCAATGAATAATATCAATTATAGAACAACTTGAAACGTTCTTTCAATTTGTTTCACGATTGAGTGTGGTCAACAGAAAAGCCTGGCCTTAGGTTTTAATTCTAATTTACACTTGTTAACAAAGCATATTTGCTATCTTAAGGGAACTGATACTTCTCTTGAGATTCAAACCTGTGTAACCCTGTTTCACATTCTCAGATTCTACTAATGAGCTTTTGTGGCTAGTACTGATCTCCTCTACAATGAGATATGGCAATTGATTGACCATTGAAATAATTACCCTAGTCCACTAATATTTATCGAATTCTGTCGATTAAGTTGTTATTTCAAGTTAATAAATAGAAATTTCGAACCTACGAATTATTGATATTTAAAATATTGAATAAACATCTTAACTACCATTTTTAACGCCCTCTACAAAAAAAAGAAACTAAACTTTTCAATCAAAAAATTTCAATGAAATACTAGTTTTCTCACAAACATTAACTATTCAGAGTAATTACATTTAATTGTTATTATTCCGAATAACTAGATTTAACTTTCAACAAATTTCATATTAACTGTAGGTATATAGATTTAGTTGATATGCAAGTTTTAATTCATTACTTTCTTTGAGTGTATGAATGACTTACATACTCTTATATATCTATAATTATACAATATTAATGCTTATTAGTAAACTACAAAATATATTGAGTTTAGTGGAACTACTAAATATTCAGGTATCCTTAATGTAAAAATTCTATTAACTGATATAACTGCCTGATATTAGAGAATGTTCTATGTATTTTTTTCCCTTTTCATTCTACTTCATTTATCCTAGCTCTTTTCTTTGGAAAATAATTTCATAGCTGAGTTTCATCTTTTGTTTTATATTACATTCTATTACTCTTTCGTATTTATGTGCCTTTTGAAGTGAGAAAAAAAGACAAATATTTAAAGACACCAACGATAAATTAATATATCTTTTCTTCCCTCACTAATTGTTCTCACATTTTGATGTTGTTTCATAATTATACCTTCTCTATATCATCAATATTCTGTAAACTGATATCCAATGCTCGCTGTGCAAACACATTCCATACATATACATATATGCAACATTATTGTATAATAAAATCGGCAGAAGTAAGTAGTTGCATGATGAAACCATCTTGACATACAAAACATTTAGCTGAAATATTTTTTTAAAGGCAAATATACAAAGGTGTGGAGACTGTGAAAAGGACTAGAATTAAAAAATTATATATATGTTTATGTACCTGATTAACAGAAAACCGTAATTCTACATCACTTGTCCCTGTTTCTGTATTTTTCCTTGACAATAATTACTTTTAAATAGATAAAGAATAGACAGTCAAGTTGAACTGTTACATTCATATTCACTTGTAAATTTTTCACTACTTCAAGCGGATATATATATATATATGTCTAGGGGCACGCAACGATAAATCTACATTAATCTAGTTCTACAGTATTTCCTTATGAAGAAATATAGTTAGAATTAGTTTGGAAAGTATGAATTTGGAATACATTGGATGGAGCTGAAATAATATATTGGGCTTCGAAACTAAGCTACTCTTTAGTTTAAGAAGCAGTTAGACTTTTATTACTCTATAATCTTATTTGAAAACTTATGCAGTTCTGTTATATCTATTGTTTAAATAGATTTCAACAAAGATCTATTCTGTCAGTGTTCAGTGAATACGACCTTTTTTAAAACGACTATTTGATGATGTAATTAAATACGGTTAGTTAGTAGTACACAATGTAGAATTTGCTACATTACATCTGTGCAACAAGATGACAGACTAGCAAAATTGGTATGAGAGTAAAGCAATTTTCCAACCAGAAATTAAGTTTAATAACTAATAACTTAAAAGACTAGTAAATAATTTCTTTTGTTTCAGTTATTTTTAGTAATACTATTGAATCAGAAAAAATGCTTTCAAATCCCGCTTGTTAAATAACTGAATCAAACTAGTTTGTATCAGATACACAGTAATCTGGATATTTTTATACAGTAAGGTTGAATATCACATTTTATGCCACTTTTGCTTGACACATTTATCTTATTAAGAATGAAACGTATTGACCAAACTTCAAAATATATTACTTTTCACATGGATCATTGAAAATCCATCAATATTTTATTTTTTGGTAACATGAGTTTTATGACACAATTAACTTGACCTATGTGTCTTTTTATACTGAATCCAATTAATTTAACGTTTTAATCTACAGTTTATTACTTTATATGTCATATTACCGGTGTCATGCAATTCTTAGAGAAAGAAGCACAATGTACAAGTCAATACTTGTTTAATAAAATGAGAATATTTGATTTCGCAGTAATTACAATGCCTTTGCACTATTCAGTGTGGACCAATTAAGTATTGATATCTCGCCATAATTATCTCAGCTATTCTGTGAGGATAACTGTATACACCATGAAAAGCTGAACAGCTTATGGACAATATTAGCAAACAATAATTTTCATAATTTAAAACATTAACTAAAGTTAGCTAGACTGTTACTGAAGACCTGGAATCATTGTATAACCGTTTTGATTTAGCATGCAACTTTTCAAAAGTGCTCATCAAAAATCCTATCAGAGATTTAACCCGAAACCTAAGGTTTCATGCGAACATAACCCTGATATCACTGAGTTTGCCTCCAACGATTTCAGTGCCTTACTTCAATCAATTCTTAATCCTGCACAATCCTCATACATCTCCTGTATTGGATAACTATTATTGATTTAATATCAATAATTCATTTCTTTTGTTGGCGAATCAATAACCGATTTCATTTAAGTTCCTGGACAATACGTTTACACAAATAATTTGAAAAATTAATTAAGTCATTAAGCTTCTAAGCAGAAACAATCTCCCTAAATTCAATACAATTACTTAAATAATGTTTTACTATAAAATAAGAATAATAACTGAGCTTATTATATCTTATAAGCCATAAATTTTCTAAATACGCAATATTGTTCCAAGCAAAATGTGAATTATTATTGTGTTTTTTTTGTTTACAAGTGTAGTTTATTTATTAAGAAAAACATGCATAAATAATTTCAGTTTGCTCGTAAAATGAATAAGCAAAAAAAATCATTAAAAAAATATTCTAGATATTTCTTTTTATTTATGGCGATGCAATAAGCGTAAAAAATTTAAGACATAATTAACTACAAGAAACATTTGCAAATGGTTATTTGAATGTTTAACGAATATACATATATAATAGTGAACTACTATGGACATGTTACTAGTAAAACTACATATTCCTATAAATATACATTTTATTTACAAATATTTGTATAGAATTAGTAGATCTATAGCACATTCACTATCCATTGTATATATTCATTACATCTTATAATATTTATTGTTCTTAAATCAATTGAATTCATTCTCATCTATAAATTGTATTTATTACTGATAATCAGTGATTATAGTACTAATAATCAGTAAGTGGTAGTTTCAATTAATATGAAGGTATTTAAAACACTATGATATGTGTATGTATGGTGATACTGAACTTAAAAAAAAAGATATTCAGTTGAAATTCTTTTTTATTAAAATGGCAATATACATGTCCAGTTTTATTGAATCTAATATAGTTTTTTCCTAGTGTAATTTCATGCAGAAAAAATTTGTAACATTTTGGACTGAATGTAGTACGAAATGAACATTTTGGAAAAAAAATACTGAAAAACATCTATGCGTAAAATATTAGCGATTTTTTATTTTCATCATACATTGTACATGAATTAGACATATTACTGTTTAAATATACTCAGATTTCATACTTTACATTAGGGTTACTTGTTGAATTCGGATGAATCGGGCATAAATTGTAGATAGCTAGTTTTTACCAAGAATTGAGTGAATACATTTATTAAACAATAACTAGTTTACTATCTTTATAACTAGTTGAAATGATGGAGGAGATATACTGCTCAAATGTATAGTTTTGGTGATGTTTTATTCCTGAACTAAGTGACTTAGATATAGATTTTTCATTGTCATTATGGACAACATCACTGCCCAATTTATGTGACAATCATCTTTCTATCTACTCCATTAATAATATGTCAGTTTGTAACGTTTGCCTTATTTGTGGTTGGCTGTCTCCATAGATTTTGTTGTCTTTCTTTGTTTTTACATTTACATTGAATATCGTAGTTATTTAACTGCTGGCCTTGTGATTGATTGATCCGTATGGGCTCATAGATTGAATCTGTATTGATGTGGCTGTTGATTGCTAAATGATCTAAATACTATTCTTCCAGAATGTTGGCGCACGCTGAATGGCTAATTCTCACCCAATCAGCGCTAGTCGATACCATGAGAAGACTCCAGGATCTTCTTATGTAAAAACCATAAATATACTAACGCCAAATATTGAAATGTGTCTTACTTTTCAAACAATTTTTAGTCAAAAAGCGTGTGTAATGTATGTAATTATATATAAACCTTTGATTATGAGTAGAAAACTTTATTATTAATGACTAATTATTCTACTTCTATTTTGGTTATATTTTAGTTGTGGGACCAGATAAAAATAAATTGGCAGCCACAGGTGGTCGTATTGAAAATCATCAACAAGATAATTTAAATCAACGTAACAGTTTAGGTAGTGGAGATGCAGAGGCTACTGAAGATGGTAGTGATGCACCTAAAGGTCGTAAGCGAAAAAAGAAAAAATATTCAGTGCTTCAAGCGAAGTTAACTCGTTTAGCCAGCTTGATTGGACAACTGGGTAAGTTAAGTAACTTTGAAGTATATCTCAACTAAGGATCACTAAAACTTATTAAGTTTTAAACAGGTATTCTACTTTAAATGTACAATCCTAAAATATAATCTATGTTATTTCATGAGAAAATGAATTCAGAGCAATTAGTGAGATTTTGTACACCATTTATAGATCGCCACTGGCGTATATAGCTTCAAGATATATTGCAAAGTGTAGTGTTTCTTAAATATCGTTTTCTGCATGAATAAATAATATAATATATTTGAAAACTTACCATCGTGTCACCATACTTAGTGACATTCATTCTCAAAATAATCAATAACCATCTCCTATTTTGTTCAAAAACAAAGAAGCATTTGCTAGTAATCGAAAATCAACAGGCGTGGTAAATCATTATTTACTTATTATAGTATGGAAGCACAAAAGTAAGGAGCAAACCTTCACCAATATTTTAAAAAAAAAACCAAATCTATTCTCTTAAACAAGATGAGAACAAAAAGAGATTGCTTTATTTCAAACATTCATTTGATGGATATGAAATACTCCTTCATCAAATTTAGCTTTTCATAAAAGTATTTAGCAATCTATAATTGTCATACTAAACTGACTACATTCGTATTTTCATAGTTGGATTCACGAGTTGATCTAAGCTTGATCCTCATTGAAAACCTGGAAGCACTGGGATCCATCGGTCATGGCTTTTGATTAGAACTCCATGAGTTCCGTCTTGGAGCTAGTCACTAGTGAGCACATGATTATTATCAGTATGGGATTTGTGGAAATTGTAGTATTTTCACTGTTAGATGACGGCTTACTGGTCTAGAGATGAAGCATTCACATGTAAGGTTAAAGGTTATGGGTTCGAGTTCCGCGTACAGGATTGTGTATACACACTGCTGAGGTGTCCCATACTTCCAGGTTTCCAATAGTGGTCTAGCTTATATTGACTCGTGAATTCAACTGTCGAAATGCTACAACCTCTACAAATCCTGATACTGACATTCACATTTATTTTATCTATAGAATTACTACTCAATCATAGATGTAAGAAACAAAACGAAAATCGTTTACCAATCGATTGATTATTCCTAAAAGTTACTTATTTACTTTGCTTTATGATAACAAACTTCAAAAGAGATTATTATGTACAAGACATGTAGAAATATAAATATCCTGATTACTTTTTTCGGTTTGTTAGATTATCTTATCTAAATATTTCTGTTATCTACATTGAAGCAAGATAAAACTATGTCATTTTGTAAACACAGGGAACAACTGTTATGTCATGAAATTTAATAAATCGCTACCTGAAATTTCATCTAAATGTTTATACTTATCTTCTATTTCTTGATAAATGACGAGGTAATTACGTGAATGCCAGTCAAATATATGTCCAATGATAATAAATATATTCCATAAATAATTAAGTTAAATAAACAAAAATTCATTTTACATATAAATTAAACTTCAGACAGACTTGGTTCATACTGTGCACGCATCATTTAACTTTGATTTGATTGAATAAGTCAGTAAAAGTTATAAAAAATAACTCCATATGATATTTTTAAACATTTTTTCCAGAAATTCTGTTATTAGGTAGCATTACAAGTATCGATAAACTAGTTCGTCAAGTTATGGTGTACAATCTTAGGACTGATCGGTATATACACATAAATCTAAATTAATGGTTACGTTATTTCTAAACAAATAAAGGCTTAATCTGGCAGATAAAGATCATAATTTCATTGAGTCGGAATATAAATTGGCTGTTTTAAACACTTCTAGTAAATTGTATTTACTCTATGATTTAATAGATTGAGGAAACAATCGATCACTTGGTAAAAATCAGTGCTTGAATAAAGTGAAATTTATGATTTCCTTAGTGAAATCATCTTACTCATCATCAGTTGTCGGTTCATTTTCTCTCTTGAACTTGTTGACTAACAGGTGTGATTCTCATAATGATGACGTTTTAAAAGCCAGAAGCAAAAAATCGTAAATTTTCACAATTGTGAACATTCGATTTGCTGTCTTGAATGAATCCTAAACACCCACAACAAATATGAAGTAGGCTATTCGTGATTGCACCCAACCATCTAAAATTAAAAATGTTTTTTATCAGAATGATTTGTGATCATTTTGAAACTTGGTACGTAGGAATTTATTTAGATTTACAACTTGATAACCTGGCTCCGGTCAATAATAGCTAGTCATTAATAACTAATAGCTTCAGTCTACTAAAACGGGAAAAGATTGTGCCACATGGTTCAAATATGAATGAATTTATTAAGAGCAGCAGCTTAAAGTAAAGCTGATAATGTTGTGCACAGAATCACTAACCAATTAACTTTACTACTTGTTAGTAGGTGATAGAAAGTAGTGGAAAAAAAAGTGAAGGTATCATTTTCTGTTAGAGAAGTATATGGTTAGAAATCTAAGAACTCACGATAAAAGTGGAATGAAATAAGCCTATGTATTTGACTACCTTTCCGTGATAAACCGATCGACGAATTGAATAGCTTTTTATTCATTTGAACGTATTTCCTCCCAGTATTTGACTGGAAAAACTAAACCAATAAAATAAGTTCTTTTTCGTTTTTACTCGAAGTAAATTAAAAACCAAATACCTCTAATTTTTTTAATGTTAACGATCGATTGAAGATTAAATATTCCGTTAATTCCGATTCATTTATTTCAGACGGGTTTTTTTCATGTTGATCATTTTAACTCGAACTGTTCAATTATTCTTTCGATAATTATTATCCTTTATTTTTCTCACTTTTAAGGTACCGTTGTGGCTAGTTTAACAGTAATAATATTGATTGTAAAATTTTCTGTCAATACATTTTATTTTAACAAAGAACAATGGGATACAGGCAGACATTTACATCAATTTGTACAGTTTATTATTATTGGTGTAACAGTACTTGTGGTTGCTGTGCCTGAAGGACTTCCATTAGCTGTAACTATTTCATTAGCCTATTCTGTGAAGAAAATGATGAAGGTAAGCACTTTAGCCTGTTGATGATATCGATATGTATTTTTAGATAGAAAGAAACAATATATGACTGTCTATATTTGAGTTGAAATATCTGTAGAAATAATATTAGAAATGCACAACTATTGACTTCGACAAGAATTTAACCTAAGAATTTCAGTCTCCACGGTGATTAAATTAAATTCAGTTCAGTGATATGAAATAAATAGGTTTTCATTTCTGTAGTCTGGTTGTAAGTAATTTGTACTGAAATGATGGTGGCTAGCAGTGAAACGTTTAATAAAACAGTGATTTTATATTATTTTTGTTCTTGTTATCCATTAAGTAAATACTTGGTTAGTACATTATAAGAAACTAAGACATATTGAATAAGACGTGAGATGTGTACTAAAGAACTGAATCAAGAATAATACTTTTGTTTGCATAATTAAAGTAAATAAAATGTTTATAAGCGGAGATGGATGGTGGCTAGCAGTGGAATCGAGGAAGTGCGTTTCGTCCTATTTGGGACGTGTCAGATGGATGTATCTGCATCCCCGATTTGATGTTCACTCCAAGGCTCAAACTCAATGCCCTTTCCTTCAAACGACATCACGTTATTCACTAAGCAACTGAGACCAGTAGACACAAGCTTGAACAAAACGTGTGTTCTGGATTCCACTGTTAGCTGCCATCCATCTGTGCTCAGAATGCTTGTGATCTAAGGCAGTCTCGAGGCAATCAACACAGGATGCACATCTGCGAAAAGGTGACTGATCAATTGCAGTCCGAAAGATCAATGAAAAGATTCAAACACACAATACAAAAATGAATTTGTACTGCGCTGGTACTTTTTTAACAAAAATGTGAAAATTATTTAAATTAAACAGCCAAATCATTATATTGTCAGTCGACAGCTAACAAAGTAAAACAGGATCATAAAAAGAAATGAATGTAGAATTTACTTATATAATACAAACGATTCAGGTGTTTGAACTTCTTAATAATGTATAACGAAAGTAACCGTATGAAGTGAACTAGATAAAACATATAATTATTAAATGCTAACGAATAGTTTATGATTTATAAGACGTTGTGGAACGAATGTCTTTGTGGATCAATTTCACCATTTAAGATCTTCAGTATTTGAGTTTTTTCATCTGATACAGTTTATTTGGAAAGCCTTTATGGTGCAATGCAAATCAGATAAACAGTCAGTAGTTTTATGGATTATTATCTTATCCTCATTTTGTCACATTTTTCTCTTTCTTGCTTGATAATAATTCATGTAGAGACAAACTTTGTCATGCTAAACGTTGAAATGGGATAAACATATGAGAGTCTATTTAACCTTGTAGGTGCTAATTTATACTTTTCTTGACTGCGCCATTACTACTTATTTGGTGGTTATACTATACTCGTAAGATACAGATCGTTAAAATTATCTGGAATATGTTATCATTCCCTCTTAAACATCTGGTTAATTTTAAAAAAAGTATTGTGGGTATACTATAGGAGATTTCTTTTCGATAAGAAATTATAGTTCATTTTTTGGCTAAGTTATTGCCAAAGGAATTGCATTAACACTAGGTGTTTAGTCCAATGTTTTTTTCAAGAGATATCAACCTAAATTATCTTGTCTTTTGTTGCTATGCATAAATTTATTGGCTCAAAGTGTGTTTCAGATCAGTCACTATTACACTCGGACTTAAATAGGTCAGCTAGTACATATGTTGGTGGAAATTATTTCCCATTATGTCTTCAACTATCCTTTTTTTGTCGAAAATCTACTTAGTTAAGCAAATTTGATCAGAAAAATTCAATTTTAGTGTTAAAAATTAATATGTCGTAGTAGGATTCGAGAACGTTCTTTCGAGATAATGCCAATCTGTTTGGTTCGGTGTAAATTGATAAAAAAAGCTGATTTCACTCTAAATTCTGAAATGTCTTGTTTAACGTATGACTTCTTTTTAATACTGTTGGTTGATTACTGGTTGGTGACCAATGTTGAGCTTCTTTATTCTTTTAAGTTATGACTAAATGACAAATAAGAGGTTTTAATGCAGCTAATCATTTCAATGACTTTACATAACATCCAATATGTTAAGGTGTTTCGTATTTGAAGTTAACATTGGTTTCTTGCCAATTACTTCTCAATGAATAAATTCTTTAAACTTTTCATTATACATTATCTTTTGTTCATGGATTCACTGAGTTCTTTTATTCCTTATTATGGAGAATAAGAAACATGTCATGAACTTTAGATAATGTACAAAAAAAGAAAAGATATTTTATATTTGGTTAGAATATTGATAATAATGATTGTGGTAACAATCAGAATCAAGGTCATGATTAGATAACAAATGTATTTAAGGACAAAGGTAAAATGAGATGAAAAAAAGTTTTCTATTTTTCATTTTTCCTTGAAATTTGCCAATTTATTTTCTATTATATTATATATATGACTTAATTTTGATTGATAGGAACAAATTTAATAACATGAAAGTATATGAACATATGTATAGATAGATTTTTGGTTGGTCAGTCGATTATTTTCTAAAACATTAATATATATTGCATTTGTAATTTATTAATAGAAATCCGTGGAATAATATAATATATGAGATGAATAATCATAAATACTAGATTTGTTTTGTTAAATCAGATGTTATTACCATGTTTATTTTGTACAGAATTGAATATAATCAGGCCACTTTTGTAATTACATGATATTTAAACTTAAAGATTTTTAAACAAAGGGAATACAAATGTGTTTATACATGGTATTTTTAGATGATCCACAATAGGAATGATTGTTACTTGAGTGAAAAGTGTTAGTCCAATATTTATTAATGCAGCTTGTCAATATTAATTAACACTGAATCTTATCGATTGAAATACAATCTATTAGTCTATAATACCCACATTTTGGGGACAGGAAGTTTTCTCAAGTACATGGCTCTTAGATGTTGTCACCTAGATGAGTTGTTGATAATTAAATATAGGGATTCCATGAGACTAAAAATGTCAATGCATCTTTATTAAAAGATTATTATCAATTTACCCTACAATACACAATTTCCAACAAATGTAACGCTTAATTCATAATTTCTCCAACTCATATAAACATGTGCAGATTTTAAATGATACTGAAGTTAAAAAAACCAGCCCTTTTTCTATGTCCTCAAAAAAAAACGTTTTATTGATTTTTTTAAAAATGTTTCTAATGTTCAATAAGAACTATCAAAACCTATGATTTACAATATATTTGATTCATCAATTTTTCAGTTCACCGTCAAAATAATTTAAATTAACCTTTTTATACAAAACTATTCTGAGCAAAGATGAATGGTGTCTAGAAGGGGAATCCAGGACTCGCGTTTCTTCCTATTTGGGACTAGTCAGCTGAATGTATCTGCATCCCAAAGTTGATGTTCACTCAAGTAAACAACATCAAGTGAATTTAGAACTATTTCGAATCTTAACATACCTACTATTAGATTAGTAATTATTGAAAATGTCAATGCAATTAATTTGGTTTTTACTTCCGAATACTTTTTTTCTTTTCTAATCCATCATTCTCTCAACTTATTGTTTCCTTCATTAAAACAGAAAAAAACTAATTTCAGAAACATTTAGCATAATGAAAAACAGATTATGATTTGTAGATAGATCTTTGACATGTCATACATAATATGACAGTATTTAAAATATTATACTGACAAGAGATGAAAAATAGGATTGAAATACAGATATATGCACAAGTATGATATAAAAATCTAATAACCTAATATGTAAAGTTTGTTTTGAGTATTACAGTGTAATAAAAGTCAATTAACTATGTAACTGTTGCATTATTCATCAAATTAGTAGTCAGTTAACTAGTTTAAAGGTGTAGAAATATGTCATAAACTAACAAAAGAGACCAAACAATATGTTAGTGAATCTCATCTCAAAGTCAGTGGATATTTTTTTATTAGTTGTTGAAAAACATTTCATTGAATCGGAAGATATTATCAAATGACTAAGTATATTGGAAACAAATTAGGTTTTCGAAAACTGACAATATAATCTGAATTGTACAAATAAATACTTGGAAACATTTTTGAGATCGTTAGCGTTGATTAATGGTGATGTTTTCCAAGCATTATGAAAAACCATATCAAACCTTAATGTTTCTTTTTTGACTAATTTACCAGGGGATATTTTCATAGTCAATATTCAAACGTTTATTCAAAAATAACGAAATGATAGTAAATATTTCAACATTTAAAAACTAAGTTTACTAAGTACCTATGTACTGAACGAGAACACCAGATTGCACAATTGAATGTATTTGAACATCAGATTACAGAACGTCTTACTAAAATCTGAGAACTATACAGTAAATACTTAATTTGCAAAATTTCAATAAATCGTCTCAGATTCAACTGTCCCTTCATTTCCACACCAATCTTTCTTCGTTCTTGTTTTATTTCTTTGAGTTTCTTGACCTTCTGCCTCCAGGCATTGCACTTTTGACAGGTGATACATATTAGTTATATATGTCGACATCAGTAGAACACACCACACATATAACCTTCAAACACATCTAAAATGAGACAGATATCTTTCAATTCATCAGATGATAGTCAAACACTGTCATGAATTGGCTGGAGTTAGAAGTATGAGTCAATAGATTTCAACCGGCTGGTATTAAAGTATAGAGTTCGTCGCACTGTTTGAAAACCTGATGCTTGACTTTGTGCCCCGGGGCCAGCCATAAAGTCGTGAACCAGATCAAGATCTTCTTGGTATTCAGTAGCACTTCGGCTGATATTATTTTTAGATAAAAATAAAATCAGAATCTTTGACACTCTGTACTTGATTATTTTAAATCATCTAATCACAATGATAACCTCCATATAAATTAATTACTTTACATTTTGTGTAGACAATATCTATTGATAACAATATTTCTGATGTAACGAGATCCTGAATTTTTTCCTCAGTATATATGAGTCACACACACTTTTCTCGTTCAGTAGTTCGTTTTAGCATACATAAGTATTTAATACTTGGTTCATAAACTAGTATAAATCAGGTTATCATTTCTGTAACTGAAGTTTAAATTCGGTATTTTTCAAAGGAGTATTTAATAATCAGTTTGCACTAAGTGCTGTAATTGTACTATCTCTATCATTGGAAAGCATGTTTTCTTTTTTTTGAGACTTGTCAGTTGAGTAGAACTGGATTCCAGGGTTAGTGCTTTCATTTGAACAGGAGGTCATCTCTCACAATTTTGTTTTCCAGGAGTCTGACAAACAGGATAATGATTCATAATAACCACTATTTGTTCAGTGGGTGTATAAGACTATTTTTGTTATGATAGTTTATATTTCTCAGGTTTCTATATTGAGGATTGAGTTAATTAATTCATGTAGGGTTATAAGCTTTATTATTCTAATATTTTAGTATCACGTCTACTTATATGTTTAATGCTTTGTAGTCAGTCGCTATCAGTAGGCTCAAGAACGAGTACTTACTTTCAGTCATAATAGCATCATTAGCATGAAGATGATGCATTTTAAATAATATAAAATGATAAGATCCTGTTGTCAGCCATTATCAACTTGCAAATGTAGTTAATATCACGAAATCTGTTAAAGAAGGTAAGACTTTTAACTTTCAGAAACTGGTCAATTCAGTGATTACTATCAACAAAATTTAAAATCGAAATTTTTTCAACAGAGGAAGCTATACATGTTTAGTTGTTATGATCTCTCTTAATATGACGCAGCTACTCTTGTTAGACAATACTTCACTCAATAAGTTCTCAAATCAAAACACGGTTGAACAAGAATGTAATTGTGTTCCAGATAATTAAGGTTGAATAGAAGTAGGAATCAAAAAAGTGAGAAACTTTAGTAAATTTATGGTTTTACTGAAAATTATTTAAGAGATTTCTCCACGTATCCACTAGCGCTGATTAACTACGAAATGGACAATCAGCGTTCCCCATCACAAACTTGCACGAAACATGCTTTAATCCAATCTATATTCAGCCATCACCAGTTGTTATAGAGAATCAGTCATTAACTGTGCTCAACTAAATAATCCTACTTCATATGAAAAAAATATTGTTCAGTAATTGACAGTATGAACAACATTATTTCAGTAAATCACCACTTTGAGCAGCTTCATCAACTATCCTCATTCATAGAATTCAAAACAAGAATAAGTAGTACATAACAATTTTTCAAATAAAAAATTGTCATTCATAAATTTGTCTTCTCAACTCTTATTTTGTAATATTACAGATTTAATAACAACTTACGCTTATCAGTTAATTTAGTTGGAAAGAAAAATAAAACTAACAAGACACACTGTTGACTGCTTTCTATCATTGGTTTTCATGGTATGGCTTTTTTCTTTTGAAATGTCTATTTCATTAGACAAAACCAATATATGTTTGTTATTATTAGTGATCGTATTTATTGAATAGAGATTAATATACGTCAAGTATCCTCTCTTTTGTTCTATAAAGTTCCTGTTGGTTGTTTACTATACTGTTTATAGCCATTTTGTTACTGGAATAAGATTTTTTTTATTGGGGACATAATGTTCATTATTGTTTTTTTTATCTAATTGTTATTGGTGTGTTTCTAAGACTGAATAACCCTATTGTTATGCTGTTTTTTTCAATAAATCTATTCTTTGTACTAGACAGCAAAATAAAACGTTGATTAAAAAAATTTTTAAAAATTTATTAGTTTCTTATTTCATTTCCATTGAATGGTTGACGCCCATCATCCTGTTTAGATTTGTAGGGTTTTTCGCGCTTAAATATGAATGCTAAGATTTAAGCAAATAAATAAGATTATGGATACTTATCCTTTAAGGTTTTCCGAAAGTGAAAAATATAAGATAAAAGTAATGAGAAACATTGTTTTAAAAAAAATTCAAACTGGAAATCATTATTAACAATAATAAAAAATATCCAACATAAAATTAGTTGATCTCTATTCAATAATTAAAACAAGGGTTGAATAGTAAAAAGACAATATTGCATTTTGTTAATACATTTATCATTTTAGTTATACATAGAAAAGCTTTTAAGGGGAAAATGTAATTTCTTTTAAAATGCTGAATTTGATGTAATCCATTATTCATTTTAACATAATTTTCAATTTCAATGGAAATATTCAGATCACGGTGTTAGATAGTTGAATTTTATCAAAATCAGTGATGTTATGGTCTAGTAATCATATCTCAACTTGATCACTAAGCACTAGACAACATGATATTTAGTAGTATTTATTGGTTGGTTAGTGAGAGTATGTTGGTCCTAAATTATATCAGTCGTGATTTGAATATCTCTGTAGTATTATTTATGATTCGGGAATTGGATGAAGTGGGTTAGAACCTCTTATAAAACACCAGCTCTTATGAGGGTTCATGTGAATTCCAGTCAATAGAAAACCTAGATCCAAGGCTTTCTGTGGATTGGCCGAAACTTAGTCCAGTTATCTGCTTGAAAACACAGTTATATTCAAACTAAAATAAAATATTATTCTAATCACCTGGAATGAGGTTTTAACATAGAAGATATGTTTCTTCTTGAAATTTTACCAGTCAATGTTTTGTGTACATTTCATTAACTTTTTAGATTTTATTTTGGGTTCTTTAAAATATTTATCGTAAAACAATTTCACACTAAATTAGTGAAATTATCGGTTGACTACATTCATTTTTAACACAAAATCTTATTTTAGACACTTCTGAGATACATTTACATCACGACTTCCACAATCTATTGGCTTTAAGTGTTGACCTTTTCATTTTTTAAATGGTGGATGGCATATTAAGATACTATTTAATGTTTTCTTTTCAAACTTACTTTTTCTGTTAGTTTGATCTTTGAGTATATAACTTCTTTCCTTTGTTCGTAATCCGTACAGTTTATTAATAAAACCAATTTCGCTTACATTTTTGACATTTTGCTTAAAAGTGATATGATTTCCTGTATTTCAATAGTCATATGTGTTTATAAATATTTCAAAACTTTTTTTATCAGGACAATAATCTTGTACGACATTTGGATGCATGTGAAACAATGGGTAATGCAACAGCTATCTGTTCAGACAAAACAGGCACTTTAACAACAAATCGTATGACAGTTGTTCAATGTTATTTTGGTGAGAAATTAACCCAAAACACTGATCAATTACCAAAACTGAAAGATTTAAATCATAGAATTGGACATAGATTTGTGCATGGTGTTTCAATTAATAGTAGTTACACATCACGTGTGACTGTAAGTGGTTTTTCAGTGTATTATTATCATTCTTGTTTTATATGATGGTATAAGATGATATTTTTTTTCCAAAAATTACTGAATTGCATTAAATTTAAAAGAAATCTGTTAATTTTTACAATCACTTTGATCAGCAACTAACAGATAGTAAATCAGAATGGGGATTTGTGGAGATTGTAATAATCTTAACAGTTAAATTTTTGAGTCGATCTAAGTTAGACAGCGTACGGGATCGTGGACGCGCACTATTGAGTAGTTCTATACAAGGACCAAATGAATGTCCAGTGCTTTCTGGTTTTCAATGGTGGTCTAGCCTGGATCGATTCATAAATTCAGCTGTTAAGTGTGAGTTCAATTGATGTCGACAGATATAAGTAGTATGTATTACCGGTTGAAAGTGCAATGCCTGAGGTCAGAAGGTCAAGACGCTCGAAAAAAGAGAACGAGAACACAGATTGATTAGTGTTGAAACAAAGGAGCAGTCATCTGAGATAGTTGATAGACATTTCGCAAATGAGGTAATTACTGTATAGTTCTCATATTTTACTAAAAAGTTCTGTAATTGTGTGTCAAATACATTTAGTTATCCTCATCGGCGTTCTCGTTTACTGCAGTATATAAAAAATTTTGCCTATGTGAAGCACGATAATTATGGATTTATTTACGAAATGAATTAACGATTACTCCAAATACAAGAAAGTATCAAGAAGCCACTTAACAATGTATGTTCTTGAAAGTCTTCACTATACAGTCAATGAAGAAACATCATTAGACAGTGACCAACTGAATTATTGTAAATGCACAATAAGAAAATCCTTTAATGTGTGATTCGTTATCTGAGTCAGCCAAATACCAAAAGTAAAACTACTTTGTAGCAGTAAACAATCGTTAGACGTAATTAATAAAACATTAGTACACAGTAAACTCATCAATACAATGAAAAATGTTCTTTTCTAAACAAAAAGAAATTTAACTTATAACTTTTCTTTTTTTTCAAAATACTTGTATTACTGTCCCAGATTCCAGACAAACCAAGTGAATTACCACAACAACTAGGGAATAAAACTGAATGTGCTTTGCTTGGATTTGTACGTCATTTAGGCGTAAATTATGAGGATATACGAGAACGTTGGCCACAAGAAAGTTTGGTGAAAGTATTCACATTTAATTCTTTACGAAAGTCAATGAGTACAGTGATTAAAAACTTGGAACCTGATAGGCCGGGTTATACTGTTTTCACTAAAGGTGCTTCCGAAATGGTTTTGAAAAAGTAAGTTGTGAAATCAGGTACACTTTTGTTTACCTGGATAATAACTATTTGATTATTTCTAAATTTTTAATATCTGTAAAAGAATATGACTTTCCAGGTGGTTTTATTTTTGTGATCATAATCCGTGAAATTTCTTAGTAATCCCTCATTATACCAACTTATGACTTCAATATTGAACGGTAATTATTAGAATTTTTTATAATATACCGATTAAGGACTCATTAAAAAAAGGAAGTTTTTGATTACTTTCTTTATGAGAGAGAATCAATAGCTCAACGGTCACATGTTTTAAATAGTACCTTCTGCTATGGTCAATTTGTAGCGAGTGTTATTAACCAGATAATTTAATAGTAGTTAATTGCTTTTTATAACCAGTCAAGTGTTTATTTTCAGTGCTACCGGAAATGGTGGATTTGAAGGATGCGATTTATGATATTTTTAATGTTTATATTAAGAGATTTTGTCTAGACCACATTTATGAAGGTATAGGATACTGTTTTGATTTATTCTATTGATCACACAGCTCAAACAGAACTTTATATTTGAAGATTCTTTGATTTGTCTTTATTGACTATTTTTCGATGCATCAGAGTCATTCTTAAACTAATATCTAATACTTTAACTACTTCAATAATCATTAATTGCTTACATCAGTCTATTAAGCTTTTGCTCTAAGATTGTTTACAACAAACTGAGGTATGTGTTGTATGCATGTCATAATTACGTTGCCTATTTAAAATATAGTAATCCTAAAGTTGATTTGAATGCATATTCTCCTATTAAAATTTCAGATGTAGTTTCATCCTGGATGCTAATGGTGAACCTAAGCCATTCACTAAAGCTGATCAAGATAATTTAGTTCGAGATGTAATTGAACAAATGGCTAGTGATGGATTACGTACCATAGGTATTGCATACAAAAGTTATATAGATCCTGGTAAGTTATATTTTATTAGTCTTTGTTTATTTGAATCTAATTTCTGAATTATTTCATTTCATTTGATATAATGTTTATTTGTAACTATGAATATTGATAAAGATGTCTAAAGCTATTTAAAAATTAAATATGTTTATTATTCATGCTTTGTATAGTAAAACGTTGTTCATCTTTCGTTTACTCTGATACTAAAACATTTCATAATACTGCATTGGGTATATTCTTAATAGGTATTGTTTGTAAATTTGTAATTGTTAGAGACAATAGAGTAGTTAGAACAAAAATACTAAACCATGTCTAGGTTAGTTCGTATTTTCTATCATTTTTAAAGTAAATTTTTAAAACTTGTTAGCAGATACCTAGACATAGCTGTGCAACAAAATCGAATAAAAAAGGTGTTAGAAAGTGTGTAAAATTTAAAATTATTCATAAAGGATAAATACATATGAGCAAAATGATTTTATAAAAGCTTTCACTGATTATTTGCATGCATTCACAGTGATTTGAGCAATAAGTGTGTTATATCAGGACAGTTAAATGGGTTTATAAGGACTGGGAAAACGAAGAAGTCAAGGTGAAGTGGGAAATTAATTGTCGGTAATGTGGTTAAAAAATGAGAACTAATTTTTTGTGGGAGAACTAAGTATTCCAAAGAAAGATAATATACTTGTAACATTTATAATCTCTCATCAACAGCCAACGACTTAATGAAGTGATTACGTATACCATTTTGATAGCTGTTATTCTGTGTTAAATTACACTTCATACCATTTGCCATTAAAAATCAGGGTAGATATTGGTTAAACATACAAAACACATTTTCCACCTACCTTAGTTAATAAACGTTATTATCAAACGATAAAATTTTTCTACCGTAAGTCATACTTCCTTGTTGCCTCTTCGGTTTTCATTTCTTAAAACTAACTTTTATAAAATAATTTCAATTTGCAGAGAACCTTAGTACTCAGGGACAGTTTTTCTGTCATAAAATTGTGGACTACATTAATGCTTTTTCATTCATTGATAGACATCTTAGAAATGTTATGGACAGTTCGAGATGAAAAATGCAAGAGAACTTTCAGTATCCATCACAAGAATTCGTCACAAACTTAACCTTCAATCCAACCTGTTGTTTTAAAGTTTCTCAGATGAAGAAACTGAAATTAATGGAGCAAGGATTGAACTATTTGCTCCAATTACTCTTTTCAAAAGCTTAGATATATTTCTAAAACTTCCATTTACTTAAAACAATTTACGTTACGAAACAAATTTTGTTAAAAATGTAATGAAGAGTTGTTACGTCTTAGTACAAAACTTTTCAATATTGTAGACTCTCAGTCTCACTAGGAATCAAATCATTAGCTTCATGTTTTATATTGAGCACTCTGACATAAAATCGTATTGGAGGATCTATATCTCCGTATGCATTAGGTTCATTATATTGTTCGACTTGGATTCAGTATTATTGGTAAAAACTGTTTCACTCTGGACATCACTGAACCTCGTAAACATGATGTAAAATATTTACACCAATTTTTCGAATATCAAATTATCACTGAACTTAGAATGAATTTGACAATTCATAACAATTTATATGGCATAGAATAATTTTCAACGAACTCCGTAATAATGGTTGATTGACTAAAAAACTTTTGTTCCGTTTATTTCATTCAAATAATGTAGTTGCTTATTTTGACTGCCGACTTCATAAGTGACAAAAAATAATAGCTTCATATTTCAAATGGCTTGTTTCATAAGTGTTGGAAAATCTTGTAAAACCTATTTGATTTCTTTTCTCAAGCAGATGATTAAAACAAAGACAGCAAACATAATTGCAATCAAACAATATAGAACTGTGAAAACATCTTCAAATGAATCAATTTCGGCTTAATTCGATGAGACAAAAATTTTTTTCAGAAAATGAAGTCTTGATCTAAAGACAATCATTATCATATTTTAATAAATTTGTTAATTAATTGTTGCGAACTGCGAAAAAGATTGAGAATAAAAATAAACGGAATATGTTCATTAAAATTTGACACATTTAATAATACAATTCGTACGTCATATTAGCCGGACAAATGAATAGATATTCTTTTTTTATCATTTATCACTTTGGACAATTAAAAAGAAACACTTTTTAATAAACTGCTATAAGTGTTGTTTGCTTAGTATCATGTAAATTGTTACTCATTAGCTTTAACACCGTGCGAATATGAAGTATAAGCAAATGATATTGTTATATCTTGTAATCCTTGTGCCCTGTTAATACATCAAGCGATACGATCGCTAACAAGAGTCACCGACTTATTGACCTGATCATAGACGCATAAACCAGTAGGAGCAGCCTAAAATTCTTATTGGCCCTTGATATAGCAGCTTTTCGTCTAACCCAGTCAATTCAGTCCAGGACACAAATTTCAGCCTTCGTTATATCGAATCATATATTTTCAAACATACTTGCTTTATATACAAGCAAATTCAGACCAAATCACACCATGAAATGCAAAATAACATTTGTACATGATCAAGCCAAAAGTGCCGGTGATTGTGAGATACTGTGACTAATAAATTGAGAATAACTTGAGATTAATAAATTATATAACAATAACCAATAAGTCAACTAAAAGCTTATAATAAAAGGAATACAAATATATATAGTTTAGTAAGCAAATATAGTTAGTGGTTAGCAGTGGAATCCAGGACCCGCGTTTTGTCCTATTTGGGACTCGTCAGCTGGATGTACCTGCATCTCAGAGATGATGTTCACTCTGGAACTCGAACCCAGTACCTTCTTACAAGTTTAACAATAAGAATATATGTACAATATTAATTCATAGACAATTCTCATAAGTTACCCTTAATTTTCATTAGGATATAACAGATACATATATAGTCTTATGATAACAATGTTGCATAGTTTGCTTCATTCGTTGACTAAGAAAATTTAGGCATATTGTGTTTTATTAGGTTAATCAAGTATGAAATAAAACTGACTAACTAATATTGACAGCTTGACATCATAAAATAAGCATCCTATAATTTTTTATTCTAAATTCCTAATTGAAATATCTACACTTATCATCATATTATGTAGCGTACCAATATGTAACAAAATATCATGGATAAATTTTTTGCTGAAAATATTAAAGTTTTTTTTAATTTTGTTTACATTTACGAATATAATGAATTAGATAAAACCTTAAGTGTTAGATGTTGGAAAACGTATCTCTATCATAAGATGAAAAAAAATAATAAATTTTATTTTCAGTAATAGTCTTCTAATCCTTTTTAATCAAATGAATAACAATTCTTGATGACAGTAATATAAGATTACTATCCAGATAATATTCGATTATATCAAACAAAGTGGCTATCAGGACTCAGTAGCTGAGCGGATAATGCGATGGCGTTTGAAGCGAAAGGTACTAGGTTCAAGTCTCAGAGTGAACATCAACTCTAAGATGCAGATACATCCAGCTGATGAGTCCCAAATAGGACGAAACGCGCGTCTTGGATTCCACTGCTAGCCACTATCCATCTTTGCTTATAATGCCTGTGAATTGAGGCTATATCGATGCAATACTCACAATATGCACATATGCCAATTAGAGACTGACCAGTTGCAGTCCTAAACATCGATGGGAAGATTCAAACAAACAATGCTAAGTGAATTAAGTCAATCACTTTTTTCTAAAATATTCCAATTGTTTAAGCAGGGACAGATAGTGGCTAGCAGTGGAATCCAGGACGCGCGTTTCGTTATATTTGAGACTCGTGAGCTGGATGTACCTGCATCTCAGATTTGATGTTCACTCTGGGACTCGAACCCAGTACCCTCGCTTCAAACGCCATCGCGTTATCCACTCGGCCACTGAGTCCTGATAGCCACTTGCTTGTGCGATGGGGTGAAGTTTATATTCATTCAGTATTGTTTGTTTGAATCTTTCCATCTCTGCTTACCATGCTTGTGAATTAAGGTTATATCAAGGTAATACACACGGTATGCACATATGCCAATTAGAGACTGACCAGTTGCAGTCCTAACAAATCGATGGGAAGATTCAAACAAACAATACTGAATGAATTTCAATTGTTTGCATTCTTAATAAATTGGGAATAATGTGTAAAATATTAACAAAGATTATTTTATTCTTTTTTTACTAAAGCTGTTGGGTTATTTCCGAATGAGGTTCGTTTAAATCGTGGACATACACCTGATTTTGATGATGAAGATACTATTGTCTCTGATTTAACATGTATTGGAATAGTAGGAATTGAAGATCCTGTAAGACCAGAAGTTCCTGCAGCTATACGAAAGTGTCAACGTGCCGGGATCACTGTACGTATGGTAACCGGTGATAATGTTAACACAGCAAGATCGATAGCTGCTAAGTGTGGTATTCTTAAGCCAGGTGATAACTATATTGTGTTAGAAGGAAAAGAATTCAATGCTCGTGTACGTGATCCACGTACAAATCGTGTTAGACAAGATCTTATGGATCAAGTATGGCCACAGTTAAGAGTTCTTGCACGTTCCTCACCACAGGATAAATATACTTTAGTAAGTGGAATTATAGACAGCCATATTTCAACTCGTCGTGAAGTTGTTGCTGTAACTGGAGATGGTACAAATGATGGACCTGCATTGAAGAAGGCTGATGTTGGTTTCGCTATGGGTATAGCAGGAACAGATGTTGCAAAAGAAGCTTCAGATATTATATTAACGGACGATAACTTTACAAGTATCGTTAAAGCTGTCATGTGGGGAAGAAATGTATATGATTCTATTTCAAAGTTTCTTCAATTTCAACTAACTGTCAACATGGTTGCTATTATTGTTGCATTTGTCGGTGCATGTCTAATAACTGTAAGTTAAAGAATAAATAATTTTTATTTAGATATAATCTATGTCGTATCAGTGATATATTGTTTTTATACACTATTAAATTGGCATTTATTGGAACCTTCATTGATCATTAACAAAGATAATAAATAATGTATATAAGTTTCCTTTCAATAATTTCCAAAGAAAAAGAATTGATGATTTGAATTACTCGTGGCATATTTCCAGCTAACTTCAAATTATTGTATAAAAAGTTTACATCTAGAATATAACCTAAGATGAAATTTAATTCTTTTGGCCTTATTCAAATTAATTAATTTATAAGGTTACAGATATGAAAAATAGAATCAAATGTAACTACATCGTAAATTAAATTAGGAAATCATTCGATATTCAATTTTAAGATGTAATTTTGGAAAGAAAGAAAAAATTAGAACACTTTGAACTCATATTCAAAGATATTTTAGAAAAAAAATTGATATCTTGACAAATTAGTGGAATATTTAAAATCATCATCAATGATGCATAATGAAGGAATATAACCTATGTTTAAGATACATATACATATATACTGATCAAATAACGTTGAAATGGTAGTTTTATTTTTCAGTTTCATCCAAGGAATTTACTTAAATTTAGGCAAATTAAATTATAAAAAGTATTTATAAAAGACATCATTTAAGTGAAACATAATCCAGAGGTATAATCTGAAATTGTGATGCGTATTAGTAGTAGTCTTGAAAAGTCGAAATAATGTATAAACATTTACTAAGAAAAAATTCACTTCAACGTTACCAAGACTGTTTTGATTTTAATAGTTGAATTCATGAGTTGATGTAAGCCAGGTCACCATTGAAAATGTGGAAGTATTAAACGGCCGTTTCGTCCTAGCATGGGGCTCCTCAGCAGTATACGAACCCTTACGTGGGGCTCGAACCCAGGACATTCGGTCTCACACGGGAACGCTCAACCTCCAAACCACTGGGCTGACATCCAACGATATTAAAGTCTAACTTCAATCGATCCATGATCTCACTCAACAAATCTTCCATTGTCTCAGGTAGAAACCTGTCTCATGAATTCAACTATTAAAATCACTACAATTCCCACAAACCGCCATACTGACAATATTGTTGTAATTAAATATTTGAATATTTGATACTATCCTCTGCAGCATATTCAGCAATACTTGACTTACTTAGAAAGATATACGTGTAAGTTACCATTGGTTGTTTGTAAACTTGAGCTAGTCACTCATTTTTAGCGTGATGTAAAAGTATAAGTGACATCACAAGACAAAATCTTATGACTCATGAAGTTTATTGCATTATCTTGAATATTTTGAGTCATAAATACAGAGTTCAGTGTAAGAAAAAATAAAATGTTTAATAGAACCTTGTATCCCATTTTTCGGGTATAAAAAACACATTTTAAAATTCCATACATTTTGATTATTGTCATGTTACTTGCATATGACAAAAGGAGCTAAACAGTTAAAATTATTATGCATTGAAAAACAGTACTAACCTTGGAATAATAAAAAAATTAATTGTACTGCTCAAGATAATACACTTAGAAACTTCATGAAAACCTAACAAATCATAAAACATGGTAAACGAATATTTTGCATCGATGAAAAAAACCAATACCATATCCGTTTTGTAAAGAAATCGAAAAAAAACTATGTAATCAAGAAAGAATAAGTGAATACCATTAAAATATATTTGTCAGGTTTATATCATCCTAAATATTAAGAGACGAGAGTATCAAGTTCATATAAAAGCTTCTTAGAGATTCCAGCCAAATTACCGAAATTATTTAAAATGAGAGTAACCCATAAACATATAAAATTGTCACATTATTCTGAAAATTAAAAGATCGGTTGAAATGAAAAAGGTTATTATTGTAAAATTAGCTATAACAGTTAGTACCTTCATTTTGTGCCCTCATGATTAAGCATTGATAATTATCTTCTTTCATATCAGTATACCGAGATATTTGTAAAATGTAATCGAAATGTGAAATATAGAAATCGTAAATATGTGGGATACAAAGTGGATCAATGACACTTCAGAGGTTGAACAGTTAACTCTTTTAAAGTCGTTAGATATATCAACACAGTCTTCATTTATTATCGAAGCAGAAGAATGTTTATCAACTATACACCTATAGAATACATTAAAAATAAATCAGTACTAGTATAATTAGTATTTCAATTATATTGAGTCCTAAATCGATAGGAAATGTGGTAAGGCTATTAAAGAGAATTTATAATGAATATTCAAACTTCTGTTTGTCTGATGCAATTAAAAATACTGGCGGTTTTGAGTATACCAATTCGAATTAAGATGATTCCTAAAGTATTCTGCGCGAAATTCGAAGTACAGTGATAGATAACGTGTATGTTATTAATAACTAGATGAAAATCGATAATAGTTGATTCTTAGAATGCTCGGGATCAATAAAATGTCTATGATGTAACCAAAATGTGGATTTGAAATAGTGACTAAACTAGATGACAAAATACACTTGTTCCTAGGGAAGATTGTGTATTAAAAAGGTTAATTCGATTTAATGCGTAGTCTGGAGAGTTTAATGAAGTTAACTCTTTCCGTAAATCCCAACCTTAAGTTTCTAAAGTCTGTGAGCAGAAATGTTGCTGAGCATTCCATCATAGCTGATGTCACTCTAATGTGAAAACTCCAACTCTAATTTAGGAACTCAACTAAAAACCCTAGCCTTTGTTTTATAGAATAGTTTGGCATATAACTGTGAATGATTCAGATCATATCTGTTATTTCATAGTTATTTTTTCACTTTTAGTTGTTAATTGTTTTGTAACTATTTAGCATTACCTGATTGGTTGATAGCTTACCCAAAGTTATCAGTATATTATACTCTTACCATTTGTGCCTATAATATAGTTGAGAAAAATAAGGAAAACTACCTGAATGAATGTAAAGCGATTAGAAGCTATCTCTTCATATATATATATATATTTTTCAGAGTGCATACTTCTACTATTTGTGACGATATGCATACGTACACAGAAGACTGAAATAAATATTTCTGAGCATTACATAGGGTTATTATCCTTATCTGGAAGCTATATCTTAGTTTTTGTGTTCATTTGAGAGTCTATTCAAACTAATTTATTATATGGTTAAAATAAATAATTGTTTTTTATAATTACCTTTTCATTGACCATTAAACAGGATAGCCCACTTAAAGCTGTTCAAATGTTATGGGTCAATTTAATCATGGATACTTTAGCATCATTAGCCTTGGCAACTGAAATACCCACAGAAGAATTACTTGAACGAGCACCATATGGTAGAACAAAGCCTATTATCAGTCGTAATATGATTAAAAATATAATCGGACAGTCTGTTTACCAACTAGGTGTTATTTTCTTTCTAATATGGTTTGGTATGTCAAGCACTTGGTTATTAACTGTTGTTTAATTTCTGTAATTATGTTTATTTTTAATCTTGTTAAAATAGCGATACATCAAAACAGTACTTAAACGAAAAAATGCTTATATTTACCTATTGATGCGAGTGTATTTTTGTTGTTAAACTTTATATTACTAAATAAGTTTTAAGTAGTTAAACATCTCAATGAAATAAAGCCATGAAATTTCATTTTCCTTTCCAAAAACTTTGGTTTCATTTTATAAAACAGATTGTACTACCGCGTTGTTGGAATAATAAACTATTACAATTAAATATTTAGATGATTTTTGTTGAGGCACTTCGAAAGTAATAACGAAAATTTCATCTGTAAGACATACTACCATTCGTCAAATGTATTCTGATTATTAAATTACTCTCTGAATAAGTTAGTCATTATCCTATTTTAGTAAAAAATTGCCGACGTACTTGTCCGCTATCAATTTTTGTCTAAAATGGTTGTCTTTAATTTATTTAATAAATCGAATTAGTAGAGTTTTCTTTTTGCAGTACATTTGTTTATGAATAGGGAAAATAAAATAGCGTATCTAGTATTTCAGGACTCCAGGCTAAGCTACATCGTATATATCTATAAAATTTCTTCCAATCTAATCATAAGTGTATGCATTCAGTAAATCATTTCAAGTTCATGACAATCAGTCAGCCAATAGTTATGCAGTATATGATATTACATAGCCATCCAACATTGTCTTCAGTGAGTAACTGCCTCACAACAGGCACGGTTGAGCTCCACTGGTCACCGCTTCTCACTATAACTCCAGGAAATACTGTTGTGAGGCAGTTGCTTTGTGATGCTAATGGTAGACGGTCGCGCAGTATCGTGAACTGGCTTAAGCTAGACATTAACACCGTTGGATGTTGGCTCAGTGGTCTACAGTTTAAGCGTACGTGAGCGAGACAGAAGGTCCTGGGTTGGAGTCTCACGTGCGGGTTGGTGAATGAGCACTGCTGAGGAGTCCCATACTAAGACGAAACGGCTGTCTTGTGCTTACAGGTTTTCAATGATGGTCTAGCTTACATCGATGCATGAATCCAACTATTACTAACCCCCATCCGGATGTACAATTTATTGACTTGACAAAGATTTGATTCTAACTGCTTGTATAAATTTGCTTAGTACCTCAATAAGTATACTTTGTTTAAGGTAAAAATAATACAAGGTATGATATTATTGCTTCAAAATTATAAATTTAGTGAATTTGTGTAATTTGGTCACTGATTGTGACCCCATATACAACCGACGTTAATTCACAGCATCAATTAAAAATTAATTTCGGTGTTACATTCACTTTTGTTCTTTATTTTTATTACCATTCTTTTGTTTCTTGAAGCCCCTAATATTTTTCTTTTACGTGTTCTTTTTATTGGCACAATGTTTTTACCTATGCACTTTCCCTATCAGGTGAATTACTGTTAGATGTTGAAAATGGTCGTGGTTTAAGTGCTAAAGGTATAAATCGTCCAACAGAACATTTCACCGTGATATTCAATTCATTCGTTATGATGACATTATTTAATGAAATTAATGCTAGAAAAATACATGGACAACGAAATATTTTCTCTGGATTGACTAACAATTTATTATTTGTGATAATTTGGATTTCAACATTTGTGCTACAAGTAAGTTAATTCTTTCGGAAAATAAATCACAGAAAGATTGGTTTTATTATTTAGTTGTTTACTGGGACACAGTTGTATTCTTAAATTGTTAAGATAATCATTTTGGAAACTGAATTTCATATACACACATATCATTTTTGATCTAAAAGGAATACTAACTACGATTGAGGACTCAATGTTGGATAATGTGGAACAGTAGTTGGAATTTCCTATTTACATCCGAGTTTAATATAACAGTCAATGTTGTTATTTTTATTTCTTGTTCTGTGCACTTGTTGATTACTCCTTGCCTTTGTGAACTGCTATGCGATAAGTTGTATCTTAATATATTAGAGTCAAAGCTTTTTTAAAATGTTCATGTGGAAAAAGTATAGTCTTTCATTGTTCACTGTAGATAACTGTCTGTCAGCAGTGAACTGCAATAAAGCATGAACGCTAGATATCAGTTTCATTCATTGGACTGGTTTTTTATTTAACATCTTTAAACAGCTATAGGTGTATGCGATCCCATTACCTCTAAATAAAAAGGAATAGGCAGTTTGCTGTTTTTATACTGTTTATGATTATTTGTATCAACTTTTTTTCTCAGACGTATACTGGAGTCAGAAATATTAATACTTAGTTAACAATACTACTATCAAGCATTTTAACGAAAGAAAAAAGAACACATCCTATCAGTCAGTTATGGGAAATATAACACTTGACATGATAATCCATCAACTCAGCTCAGCAAGGGAAATTCCATAAGGTCTATAGTAAATACATAGGAATATCACTAATGTCTATGAGATATGTATGTCGGACGTTTATAATTACGAAAAAAATTATCATGATAATCAACCATAAGCTAGCCATTTTCTTTCAATGAGTTGTTCAGTTAGTCTATACTCATTTACTAATACTTTTAAACAAAAGTATGTTAGTAATTTATTACTGCATAACAGCTAAAGACACCAATCATTGTGAAATAAATTTGTTATTGATATTTCAATTACTATAAAGTTAATGGAACTTATACTGCATCAAAACAGTTTCCTGAAAAGGAATTCAAAATATCTAAAATTAGTTTGTCGGTTCAAATATACCTGTTTAATTCATTTTGGAAAATTTTAAAATGTTTATTACTAACTTCATAAGATAATGATTGGATGATGAAATGTTTAATGTTAAATTGTACATGAATCATGTAAATTGAGAGGATTATCAGGTTTTTCAGTATGTTGATTTACAAACAGTCTAAGCATCTACAAAAGAGATCAGTTATTTGCTGACGGAAATATTAAAGTCATGTTTTGTTTATGAATGTTTAAATTAGTTACCTGAACTAATCTCCTTTTAGTTATACTAGTTAACATTGATAAAGACATTTACAAATAAGTAATTTATTAGATTGTTTGTTAATGTCGGTAAATCTGTTTACTACTGTAAACTGTCCACATGTATTACGTTATTGTTTAATTTATATAAGCTACTAATTGATTCCCTATACTCCAATTTGCCGATTGACCAGATAAGCAACGAAAATAAAGTTTCTTGTTTGCTAAAAGATGTGTTCACGTTGAAACAAAAATAAAGGAGATTCATACAGCGTCTAAGAATCTAATTAAAAACAAAATTATTCTAATCAATATGCTCATCTAACGATACTTATTGCTTCTCTTTTACTCTGTAATCTTGGAATGTAATCTTGAACTAAATAATCTTGGGAACATATAGTTCATATTAGGTAATTTTCTTTCTCATTATTCTTTACATATTGGATTACATTTCACCACAAAATGTACATCCCATTGATAAGTATTGAAGTATATTCATATTATTAGTCTTAAAAAAACTAGTCACGTTTTAAGTTGGTTCTGGTTTCGAAAGTATTCAATGAACTCCTGAGAAAAATCTGATAGCTGTTACACCACGAATATTCAGAATTGCTATTACTTGATCTCCACAATACTATTGCTAATAAACAATGTATTATGTATGATTTCAGAAATGATAAAAATATTTCAATGGGTAATGTCAAAATAGATTCTTTACCCATTTCTTGTCGATATGAAGAAGCCAACAGATTTGTCTAGGCCAAAAGTTTGTGAAAACGTTTTGAAACACTAATCCCATGTTTATTAATGAAAAGAATCATCATAGATTTTTCTAAGTTTTAATCAGAAGCAGTAGTCTATGGAATTGAGTAAGCTTAAAGAAGGCCTTACAGCTGAACTATACATCTGATATCAGTTAAGATTAAAACATTCGAAATATTTAATTTATATTAGTAAATTGAAGACTATAATGTGTTCGTAAAATTAAAGATATGCTAATATAACTTTTATCGGTTTAATGTTTCTCATTTATACATAAAGAAAAATAAATCAAATGTGTTATATTGTATGAGTGCCAGTTGTTATATCGATTGCTTGCGTGTGCCCTATTTGATATATGGACGTGATGATACCCGCCAATGAGAGAAGAGGAAGGAAGAAGGATATAACAAAATGAAAGCTAATTTTGTTGCATACTAACAAGCTAAAAGATTTAGGAATATGTTAGGGTGGTCCAGAAAACTTCTCGCAAAAGATAAGGAAGGCTCAGGAAACACTAAGTAGCATTTTATCCAATCACCGTTTACTAGACCTTTTGCAAGAAACATTATGAAAGTGAGAAGTCACATGTAAAGTTTCTGATTGGTTGATTACTATACTGCTATTATGTTTAGTAGCATTCTAGAATTTTCAGGAAAACTCAAGGACTTCTGAAATACCATAAAAACCCCATATTTTCTGTACATTAATGAACCTTTAGAGTAAAGTGCTCGCATATTTTGCGCCTTTTCTCTCGTGTTCAAGCTACTGTGTAATTTTAGCGTGGGGGTTACGAGTATAGCGTTCAATTAGCAAGACTTATCAGAATATTTTAACCGTATACAGTATAAACATGAGGTAATGTTGTTATGCAAACAATCAATTAATCTTATCGATTAGTCTTACAGTAACACAAAGAGTGTGTTTAATTACCAATTTTTTTTACTGTTGGAATATAAAACAGTCCTAATATCCTATTTACACTTTTTTATTCTGTTTTTTTATTTAAAGTATTGAAACTAAAAGAAATTAAATTTTGCTATAATTATAAATTTTATTAAAATAATTTTCATTAAATGTTTCACATTTTTGCATTCGTTTTTTCTTTGTATTAGGTTATAATTATCCAGTTTGGTGGCTATGCATTCAGTACACGACCATTAGCTTTAGAACATTGGTTATGGTGTTTATTTTTTGGAATAGGCACTCTACTCTGGGGTCAGGTTGGTTAAAAGTTTTCATTGATATTATTTCTATTATTATTATCACGAGAATTGCCAAATAGTTTTTTTAATAAAAAGCTTATCAACAGTTACATGAAACATTAAATTATTCAAAATTGAAATTCAAGTCAGTAAATATTCTATTTAAAAAACAAATATAAATGTTTCATGAATTAATGGTAATAACTCTGAGATTTTTTTGAGAAAATATTCGAGAAATGCTTCAACGCTGTACAGACAGTATGGTTGAATTTTCAAATGATTATTTTTAATATAGTTGAAATCATAAGTCAATTGAAGCTAGACCACCATGGAAAACCAGGAAGCACTGGACGGCTGTTTTGCCCTATTATGGGACTCGTCAACACACTGAAGACAATGGTAGATGTGTCGCTCCATTTCGTGAATTAGTTGGAGTTAGGCATTAACACCGTTGTATGCCGGTTCAGTGGTCTAGAGTTAAGCGTTCGCGTGCGAGACTGACAGGTTCTGGGTTCCAATCTCACAAGGTGGAATCGTGGATGCGCACTGCCGAAGAGTCACACTATAAGACGAAACGGTTGTCCAGTGCTTCCAGGTTTCCCATGGTGGTCTTGCTTCAATTGACTCATGATTTCAACTATATAAAATTGCTAAAATCTCCACAAAACGCCCTTCTGATTATTTTTAAATAAATTAATAAAAATGTGACAAAACAATTCATTCGGTTTTCTTCTTCTTTTTTCATTATTCATTACTTCTAACTCAAGGTTATTATTTCAGTACCAGTATGGATAATTCCTAAGAGAAGACGTAGAATAACCAAGCCTAGACGTTTAACATTAATTGCAACACAAGATGTATTAGGAGTAGAAACAGACGGTTTAGTTACTCAAGATTCTGTACATCCACAACTTGCAGATGGTGGTGTGGTGCATCGAGCTAGTACAGGTTTTGTTAGTAAAGCGGCAAATGCCGTTGCTCGTGGTTTTGGTGCAATTTATACGCAGCCTGAAGGTGAAGAAGAAGAGGAAGACGAAGAGGAAGAAGAGGAGGAAGATGATGAAGATAGGGAGGATATTGTAGGGGCAAATCTACGTAATACTGGTCAAATATTATGGATTCGAGGTTTATCAAGATTACAAACACAGGTAAGTTTTGTTATAGTAAATAAGCTATATAATATATCATCAAGTTAGTTAGTCTTATGCATTTAACCACTTGACAGATATATGGCTTTGCTCAAGCTGTCACATAATTATTAGCACAACCTGGGGAAATCTTAGAGAAATGAAGATGGTAACGGTATCAGTAGGAGTAAAAACCAACCTTTATACAGAAAAAAGGTATAAGAATATTTTGGGACTTATGATCGAAAGGAAGACAAGGGGTTATATTGTGCATAATGTAATTAAATAATTCTGATAACAAGTGTTAGAAACACAACTAATTCATTAATGAAAAGCAAAGTGTTTGGTTTGTGACATAAAATCATCTATGATCTTTTTTCAGATATCAAAATAACGATGAACGTAATTTGTTTAACATTAGTAGATATGACTAATCTTCATTTTGATTATTTATTTATTTATCATTACTCGCATATTTTAATATACGGTTATATAAAAACTGAAATAAACACCTTTTACCCTAATAAGCATGTGGTTTTGTCTTGAAATAAAACTTCACTCTCTATGTCAACTTTTTTCTATTCCTCTTTTAACTTGAGAAAAATTTCAAGCATTTTTCTCAAAGTAAATGATCTTAATTTTTCCTGTAAAATGAAGGTACATGTAAATCACTTTTAGCATAAGATTTCCATCGAATAGAACAGTAACAGTACAGAAGATATGATTTACCGTATTTTAAATATAAAAACTATTTAAATAATTTCCCAGATTCTAACACATTTTAATATTTCATCAATATCAAACTAATTTGTTTTGATACACTTCAGGTGATAACTAACAACATTAACAAATACCATATATTTTAACATACAACCCTCTGTTTTATAGATTTAAAAACTTTATATAATCGAAATTGTCATGACATCTGGTTTTCAGATTTCTAAACAAAATATACTTAAAATAAATAACTTTATAAGCAGAGATGGATAGTGGCTAGCAGTGGAATCCAGGACGCGCGTTTCGTCCTATTTGAGACTCGTCAGCTGGATGTACCTGCATCTCAGAGTTGATGTTCACTCTGGAACTCGAACTCAGTACTCTCGCTTCAAACGCCATCGCGTTATCCACTCGGCCACTGAGTCCTGATAGCCACTTGCTTGTGCGATGGGGTGAAGTATAATAATAATAAATAATATAATAATAATAATATAATAACTTTATAAATAAACATTTTTATAAATAAATTTATAAATACCAACTTGGTGATCAAATCATAGAACAACTTATAAGTATTAAATCCTTCCAAATTAATATGAATGATAACAATATTAGGCTTTACTCTGAATTATTTTGCTTGAAGATACGGTAATAGGGGGAAATTAATTTATTACTACCTTGATGACTGTATGTGTGTATTTCTGTGTATGAGTAGAGAAGAGAAAAAAGAAGAGGCAAGGCAATGTTTTATGTATATTCATGTTTGATTGTTACCAACTAACCCTACTGCATGAAATACGATTCAATCTGAAAAAGAAATTAATTTGACAAATAATCATCTTTAAAAAAATCAATTCAAACGACGAAATAAAAACAAACACTTCATGTACACTCAACTACACAATCAAATGTTATGTTATGTAAGCCAGTTAAGTTGTTCTGTAATTTTCTGTACTTGTTGTTATATTTTGTTGTTAAATGCATGAATTTCAAACAAAACAAGGATCATATTGTGGGCACACTTTATCTGCTTACTATTGTTGTTTTTCTTCTTGTTGTTGTTGTCTGTATGTGTTTCTTAAATGTTTATTGTACTTTGGATTGATTTATTTAAACATGATCACTTCATTATCATAACACAAAAAAAAATGAAAAATTTTTGTCAACAACTTAAGATGAATTTCATTCTTCTAAATATTTTTCATTTTGTTTACTTTTGAAACTAACACTCCTACTAATGAATACATTATTACTAGTGGTGATGAAATTAAACAAATCAGTGTTGTTTCATATTAAATGTTGAATGGTTTCAAATGTTGTCATATTTTTTTATTTATTGTCATTTTTTTGGTTTACATCCTAATCGTTTGGATTAAATTAACAACAACAAAATCTTTTCAAGCCTGGTGTATGTATGATGTACATATAACACTTAATAATATAAGTGAATTTTGTGCAAATAAGCATTGATTGAGTAATACAAAATTCTTATCTTAAAATTATATTGAATATATACAAAAGAAAACCAAATCATCCATACTGATATTATGTAACATACTGAATGGATTCATGGATAATTATACTGAATTGATGACTGATACACAGACTAGCATGTAAAATTATAATTGAAATAATAACAATATTTGATTGGATTAAATTGTTATAGTATTAGGATGTGTATAAATATTTTTTTTCTCCCAAATTATTTAAACGTTTTTTAAAATTACTTTATGGAATAAATTTAGGTGACAGTTCTACCGTGTCATTAAGCCCTTTTTTACTATCTAAAATCTATCCTTTGTAGTAACTTAATTTAGAGAAATATTCTAATAAGTTACCAAGTAAATTATGTGATTTATTGATGATTGTACAATACTAGTTTTATAGAATCGGTTTTCTTAAAGTTTAAGAATAATTTTCATCATTATTTAACTTTGTTGTTCTCACAGGTTCCCCACTTAATTTTGCATGCTGAAATCCTTTAGGGTGGTTTTTTTCTGACTATACTATGATTGAATTGTTAATAAAGTAAACAAAATGTACACTTTACCTATGTTCTATCTACAAATCCCGTCAATAATAATGCGGACGCGAAATGTCATCTACGAGTGTTTCGAATGTTTATATTACATAAATTCATTTTAGCAGACAAACGAAGGGATGGAAAGGGAAGAAGCCATATGGAACTGCTCAAAGTTTTACTGATTGCAAACATTAATATAGCTTAAGGTAGATAGTGCATATTGTAACAAGGTGACTGACATTGGATAAAATGAGGGTATAGACATACATTACAACACATGAGACGTGTAAGTATAGAACCCTAGTGACATGAAAATAAAAGACATACTTGCTGTAAGTCAAAAGTCCATATGAATGGAATAATTATTAGAAAGATAAAAATGACTTAATAGTCACATTTTGAGCTATTCAAGTCTATCCAAAAGTAAAAATTTGTGTGTATGATAATGTATATGTATTAAGATAGAGAAACTGCCACATTGTTTACGAAATTCCATTCTTGCTATTCTATAGATCTAACATATCCACTATATTCATTAATACCTTGACATCATGATAAACTAAATGAAATCAAAATAGGTTATGTTACCATTCTTCACTAAATTGAATATTTTTTAAGTCTCAGATATTTTAGTTCATAACAACAAATAAAATTTTAAAACAATGTATACATAATCACTTATGATTGCTATAAAACAAATATTAGTTTATTTTACTTATTGGATTCTAGTACTACTAATACTTACATTATATTTAAATAATAATGTTTTACATCTCAAGTAACTATCCGATTTACTATCCATGGTGTCTTTGTGTATTATCTTTATCATGAGTTTTTTTTTCACAATTTCATAATTAAAATTATTTAATAAATCTAAATCTGTTGAAATGGCATTGTAAAATTTAGTGAAGTTCATTAACTTGACAGATATTTTTTTTCTTTCTCCTGTCCTTTCTTTCTTTCATTTGTAATACCATCCCCCCCTCCATATATGTGGTTCGAATCGCACAATTCACGTAATCATGGTTTTTGAAAAAAAATGGTTTAATCACATTTGGTATACCATTTTTATATCATACAATTCATATATTTAATGTCAATTTATATAATTATGTTCGGTGTTTTTTTTTAAATATTTTTACAATCCAAACCCTGTACACCAATTCATCTTTGACCTGCATTTGAATGCTTTTTTTATTTATCCTTTAAATAATACAATGAAAAAAAACAAATTCCGATTTCTTTGTTATTCTTTATCTAATCCCCTATGCTTCATTTTTATTTATTCTACTTATCTTTTAATAATAATTTAATTTATATTTTTTATTTATGACATGTTGAACCTTTCTGTTTGTTGAACTCAATCATTATTTCTGTCTTGTAATAACCTATGTTCATGAATGAATGAATCTATCCGTATATACATATATATATATCCTTGCTTTTTCATATGTTTGTATGTGTAACTATTTTATCTATACTAACGATTTAAAAATACATTAAATGTATTATATTGTCTTTTCCTGAATCCTTTTTCTTTGTATTTTATCTCCCTTAAATTGGTAATCCGGTGCATTTATCCCTGTGTTGTATGTAAACTTTTCCCTTATTTTGCCTGATTATAAAATTGAAAAAAAACATTATTCGAAAAAAAAATTTATTTGCATGTTTATCTAATCTGTATAATCAATCCTCAATAATTGTGAACATCTAATGTTTGACTGAATTATCCTGCACGTATCTATTCCCTTGGGTATTTGATGTGATTGTTGATAATACACATACATTATTTTATTCCCCCTAAATTAGTCTGCACGTAAACCTAATTTAGATAATCGTACAGACGAATGGATTGGAAGTGTTAGACGCTTTACTTTAAGTCAACTTAATACTGAAGGTATGACACATCCTTTAGTTTTAGCAGCTCGACGTCAAAGTACATCAGTTAATCGAGGTGGATCAATTAGTGTTTCTGGTAATCTTCGTCATACAACACCACAAGATGTTCCTGAAGAAGATGAAGAACATGAATATGATGAACATTAAGATAAAAACTAACTTTTTTCATCACTATTATGTGATATTCTTCTTTTGGGGTGATTTTCTTCTAAACAATTTAGATATTATATATATATATATATATATATATATACATACATATATACATAGACAAAAGTATTTATCATCCGGTTTTATACAACATACAACTATAAAAAATATACAAGTCTTTTTGCCAAATGTAGGTCGTAAATTAGATTGGATACTCACATCTACTAAATTATAGCTTAAAAGAACTTTAAAAATTCAACAATCAAAATAAAACGTGTTTTTTTCTTTTTTTAAAAAAAAAATAATTGATATTGAATGGACTTAAATAATTTACATATATTCAACACACATTTTTCTTATACATACTGTTGTTTTTCTTCTCATCTTGAAATTCTACATTTTTCAAGTACCAAAAGAAATACATTTAATTGTTTCCACCATTGATTTTATTTTTGACTTTCCTAATCACTCACTAATTTTGATCTCAACATATATCTTTATATCATATGGATAGAAGGAATATATTTACATTTCATTTGTATCCACCCTAGTTTAATTTTATTAAAACAAAATTATTGCTACTATATGTAATATTATAATCCATAATTATCAGTTCAATGGTAAACTATAATTATTTTCCTTTTTATTTCCTATCATTATTACATTTATCTATTACTACAACTACTACTACTACTAATACTACTCTCTTGATATTATTCTTATGGTTACTGATATGATTATTTTTACTGCTACAATACATCTCTTTTAATCAACTATACTGTTCAGCATCGAATATGACTGAATGAATCATCCAATCATCTGAAAATGAAAAAAGAAATTGACGATACAGCATATAATCATTAATTATTCAATTTGTATCTTGGTAGTAATTTCTTATTTATTCTTTAACAAAAAAAACACTTTGGGAAAGGTTTACTTCAAGTGAATATATATATATATATATATATATATGTTCATCGAAGCAATGTCTTAGTCTATGAATTGCATTTACATTAGAATATTATCATTCCTTTGTTTCCAGCATTTCTTTCTGTCGATTGTTCGATTATAGTCTTTTGAAACGATGTAAAGATAAAATATTAATCAAATAAATTGATCATTCGCTCAAGTTGATATGTAATTGGCTTAATAAAAAAATAATAAATTACTCTTAATTCATAGAGTTTATAGAATCTTTTTTTTATATGTTCTTTTTAAGAATAATTAGTACTTTTAACTTGCACATAGAGTATGAGAAGTATCGTCTTACTCATGAGGCTGTATATATATATATATATATATATATATATATATTCTGAAGTAATATCAAGGTGTTACATGTTTGTATCTATAAACATTTTCCATTATCCAGAATATCAGTCATTCACCACTGAGGACAATCTTTGCCTATTCATATTTTTTCATTTAAAGTATAGGTTTGTATCTACGTCACTAAGAACGCGTCTGTTTATTTTTCATTTTTCTAAATACATTTTAATTCTTTTTTTTTAATATTATGCTACCTCATATATATTATTTTCTGATTTAGTATCTAATTCATATTTCGGTAAATCTCGTTTATTCATATGGCTCAATACTTTCACAGGAAACTACTTAGATTCATTGATTTTTGTATAGTTGATGTTATATAATAACAGTTCATCTTTATCATCCCTATCATTGTAAGTGAATAACTTTCATCATTTAGTTTATTTGAAGAAAAAAACCATTTAGATCAGCTCATACAATTGATTTTTCATACAATCAAAACAATTTGATTAATAACAAATGATAATATAATGAGGATGAATTAACGGTAATAATATTCATTTCCCTAAATTATCTGTTGATGGAATAATATTGCAAATAAAATATAAAATGAAATAATAAATAAGTTATTTGTAATTATGATAAGCTGATAGCAATATGATGTAATTATGTTAGTTCATTATTTACTAATTTGAAATTAATAGCCATTAGACATTATTCATTTATTATTTATATTATAACTAATAGTTAGTTTAGGCTAATCAGAATTGTGTTTTTTTGTTCAATATTGAAAATCAGTGATCAACTTTGATCTAGTCATTAGAATTTGAATTAAACAAAATAGTTTCCTTTAGCTAAAAACATGTAGACAAACTTATTTTTTATGTGTTACTATGATAATTTATATTTTAGACTTCAAGTTATTAGAATGAGTGTTTGTGGTGATTGTAGTAATTTTGATATCTGAATTCATGAGTCGATTAAAGCTAGACCATCACTGAAAACCTGAAAGTGCTGAACGGCCGTTTCGTTTTGACATTGGACTCCTTAGCTGTGCTCATCCACCAGCCCACACACGGGACTGGAATCAAGGACCTTCTGCCCCACGTGCGAACGCTTAATCTCTAGACCAATGAACCGGCACAACCCTATACTGATAACTACCATGTGCTCACTAGTGACTATCTTCGAGAAGTAATTCTCGAAGTTCTAGAGAGAAGTTGTAACAAGTGGAGCCCAATCCGTGTCAGGTAGAGACAAGTATTTACCTCAGATAATGAATGAGTGGTTGAAAAAGATCATGCATTGATTGAAGTTAAACATTGACATCGTTGGATGCCGGCTCAGTGGTCTAGAGTTTAAGCGTTCCTGTTCGAGACCAAAGGTCCAAGGTTTGAGTCTCTTGTGTCGGGCCTTGGTTGCACGCTATTGAGGATTCCCATACTTGGGCAAAGCGGCCGTTCAATGCTTCCAGATTTTCAATGGTGGTCTTGCTTACATCGAATCATGAATTCAACTATTAAAGACTGGAAGTTAACGGCTAAATCGCTTAGTCGAGAAATGCCTAATGTGTTAGGTGATGTTTAGGAAACATTGCGAAATATTACAGAAATTATTTGATTTGACAGGGAATTTTATTTTGTTTTTATCTAACAAAATGATCATTATCTCAGTGTAAAATATCAGTACGAACTAAAGGGTTGGATAAAATATAGCATTCTGATGCTTTGGAATTTTTTTTAGTATTTAAACTATTTAGTTTATAATCCATCAAATGTTTTACACAATACAACAATGTTTCTTTTGTTAAAGTTCAAAATCTATAGAAATTTGAATATCGGATAATGGTGGGTTACAGTATTCTTATTTCGTCTTATTTGGAACTCATCAACTGGATATATTTATGTACTGATATTGATGCTCATATAATGTCTTGAATCTAGTAACATTCACTTTAAATATTAAACACATTCTTCAATCTTATTAAACTTAATTAATAGTTATCATAGTTATTCATAGTGAGTTGCAATATTTAAATTTGAAGTAATAATAGAAATGTAGGTTTAGTTATTAATTAATCAAGCTTACAATTCGAGTCACATTCTTCAATCTTATTAAACTTAATTAATAGTTATCATAGTTATTCATAGTGAGTTGCAATATTTAAATTTGAAGTAATAATAGAAATGTAGGTTTAGTTATTAATTAATCAAGCTTACAATTCGAGTCCTGATCTTCATCCATTAGTATATGTATCCATATGAAGAAAAATATATTCACATATACTTAATAAAAAAACCTTCGAAAAGTAGGATATAGAAAATGTTTTACACATCCTACCTGAACATTTAAGAACTTTTCTATTGTTTAGGCTAAACACTAATAATAATAATAAACCTAATGTTGATGAAAAGTTAAGTAGATCTGAAAAACCTTGATCAAATATTCCACGATACTTTACATCAAGTAATCTATTAAAAAGATAAAAAACAACCTTTTTAAACGCATAAATATTGTACAATGAGGCACCAGATATATATGTGCCGCACAAATCTCATTCGATTTGCTTGAGAGCTGTGATACTGCCCAGATGCCCAAACTAAAGCAGGTGGTTTTCTTAGGGAGCCACACCCGGAGCCTTTAACCTAAAGGTCTGATCCACAAGTCAGTGAAGCATCATAGGGAGATGCAGTCCCATAGTAGACGTTGACCAACGATTGATTCATACGCCATTTGTTCCCTTAGGATACTGGAGCCCATGTGCACCATTTTTTGGGAATTATGGTTTTCCAACTCCCATAGATGGACTTTCCATGTTCACCAACCCGGATAAAGCGCCGTGCACTCGCTTTACGTCATCTCAATTTCCTAAAGAGCAACCATGCCACGAGAAGGCAGTGATTAGGACTTCCTTGTCAGAGGCTATATACGCGTGGCCACGTGAGAGCATTTCGAGAGGGAGAGCGGACTCTCCCCACTATCGGCCGTATTAGGGCATTTGGGGCCTGAAATTAACATCTATTTACAGATTAATTCGTCAAATAGATTATGACAATAGTTTACAAAGATTTATTTGATAATTTTATCATAAGCCATTCATGAATAAATCATTAATATATTTTTATGTGTTATTCTTGTTGATTTAATTCACATAAATTATATAAACATTAAGAATGTTGTTTATTTTATTTTCTTCTCTCTCTCTCTCTTGATTTCCTTTCTTTTTTCCGTTTTTTCCCCACCTAATTGTTGTAAATGTCGACTTGTGTTAAAATTTTGTTTGTTTATGTGTGTATGTGTGTATAAATGGTTTTATGTTTTGTAAATGTATTTTTGATCATGTCTCAAATTGTTTTTTTTTCAATTTCGTTCCTTACGGGTTTTTATTTTACTTCTGTATAATATTGTTTGGTTTTACTTCCTCTCCATTTATAACATTCTCCTTTCATTACTGTCTAAATTTATCCCCCTAACTGTTATCATTATTTTTGTTCCTTCGATTTTATATTCTTAAAAATCATTTAAATATGCTAATACAATTTGTAACTGTACTTCATATTTGCTTATAACTAAAAAAAATAGTTGAAAGTTGTACATGCTTTTCGAGATCAAAGGGATTCAGAGGATGAACGTGCAAATATAGCAGCATTAATGCATCATCATCGTCGTCAATCAAAAGATTTCTTACACCAAACATCAAAGAAAAGAAAAAAATCTCAGCAACTGTATAAGAATAATAATGACAATAATAATATTAATTTACATCAACAATCTCATCGTTATCATCACCACCAACAGAGACAACAAAAACTACAACCAACAGATTCCACAGACTTTTCTCCTACTTTCCCAGCTACGTCAAATGAGATGGGAGAAAAAGCTGCAGAAGAACATCCACTGTTAGTTTTAGAACAAACCGCTTATGACCAAATTATTGATGAAGAAAAGTGTCATGATAGAAATGGGAATTGTGATGTCAACGATGATAATAATAATAATAATGGTAATACCAGTAAACAAAGACCAGATCATGATGAAGAAAGTACACTTACTGAAGTAACAATAACGAAATTCAAACGAAATGATGATGATGAACAGTTTGAAGAAAATGTTTATCAAATTTCAAAGGAAACTACAAACAATATGATAAATCCAGATCTTGAAGAATGGATTAAATCGAGTTGGTTACATGACTCAAGTGGGCAAGAAAACATAAGCTGTACTATACCAGAATCATCATATAATATGGGAAATAATTTTCAAATACAAAACAATCCTTCAGCATATACATTTGAGAGTAAGGAACTAAATACCGTTGTTGTTGGCAGAAATCAACATTCGAATCGGCCAAATAAACAGTGCAGAAGATCAAGTAAACCACCTGCTCCGCCACCTCCATTTAAACAACCATTTAGTACAGCTACCTCAGACAGCTCTGATATACTTTAAACTTTCTGTGATATACACCAATCCAACTGTTTAGTCCTAAGTTTCAACTATCAATACTATTGAAAAGAACATGAGATATAATTTCATATTGTTTATATAATAAATCATTGTTCCTCAACACATTAGTAAATAAACATATTACTTTTTACTCTACATTAAAGAAGAATTTATCTATTATTTGTACATTAAATTTGAAGATTCGTCTTGTAATCTCAGTAAAATCTTCATTCATATCTATGGAAATCTATACATTAATTAAGATTCTTACTTCATATATAAAATGTCATCTTAAATAATGAACCACTAATTATTTAACATCTTCCTTTAGACTTAATTCATTTCATATAAAACGAAGTAGTGATTTACCTAGCAGTTTAAAATTTGCTCAATCATCAATTACAGTGATTTTTATCATCATCATGATCATTACCATTATCATCGTCATTATCATCATCGGCAACAACAACAACAATAACAACTTCCTGTTTTTCGGAAATCACTTTGTTTTCCAACATATATTTAAAAAGTTTTTTTATATTATATATTACTCCTATATTCTTACCGTCAGTTACTTTGGTTTATCTTAATTAATTTTTCCCAGCATGTTCTTCAATTTTTTTTTATCAATAATTTCACGCTGTAGATTGAAAAGCACAAATTTTCTCTCTTTCATTTTTAAACAAACCAACTTCAGTAGAAAAGAAAAGATTTTCAACTTTAAAACAAATATGCACATATATAATTATGATAATGTAATTAATTTATTATTCCATTTTGTTATATGCATGGTTGTGAAATGTATTCATTGAATGCTTGAAATTAATTTTGTCATCATTATCCAATATTATTATCGTCATTATCGTTCAATTATGTAACATATTGAAATAAAACAACTGCATTTCATTCCATTGAAGGGTAGGTTATCTTTATATGTGATTACTAGTTTACTTTCCTCTGCTTATATACGTTTTTCAACGTCGTAATCATTATTATTATTACTACTATAACACTATCATCATTACTATTATATGTTTATCTCATCATTATCATAAGGATCATCACTGATTTTATTTTACACAAAATTATTTTTGTCATATATTTAACTTTTAGTTTGATTTAAGTTTATAATTAATGTTTTCAAAACGAAATGAAACTTTATTTTTTCTATATTTGTTGTCTTTATTTCTATGTTGTGCACATGTTGGGATGTGTGGATTTAGCTTTAATTTGGGTACCAAATTTATTATTTTTTGAGATGAAAAACCTTAATAAATAAGCATCCATGGAAAAAAACCCATTAGAAAGCCGTTAGTGATTACTCATTAGAATTTTCCTCAACTTCTTGTGTTATTCTGTCAGACTCTTAATGTAATTTATTTTTTTAGTTTATCATTATTAGGTTTACGTGATATGATAATCACTTAATACTTATTATTTTCCAGACTACAGTATGTTTTGTCAAAAGAGAAGACCTTTTGTATGTAAACAGCTATTTATATATATACCTGAAGTTCGTACTAGTGATATTATTCAGAAGAATAATGAAGGCTCCACAAGTAAGCCATCTAGCTCAGAGAACAAAACTTCACTTAAATCAACCACATGATTTACAGATCTCCAGCATCTCATATGTATAAAAGATCTAATAAGTTGTTACAGTCGTTGACTACTGATGAAATAGTATTGATATTCACTAAGGAATTCATCTTTTTTTAAACTGTTTTAATTACTAACAGTCATTTAAATAACTTGTATTTAAAAATGTAAGCATATGTTTTATTATCAAGTTTCAGCGTAGGAAATTAATGTTAGTCATTAACAGGTAAACAAAAATTGCGTAGAAAACAAGTATGGATTATAAGAAGCACTAATTAAATTTTTAAAAAAACATTGAATAAAACTAGAAAAAATTGAGTTCAATGTCATCCATTATTAGAGATAATTTATGTTAACTGTTATAAAACGTCTTTTTCTAATCTTGTTTGATTTCTTTAATTGTATTAAGTGATATGAAAGGTATTGATAGTTAATTATTTAGCTGATGATGATTTTAATAGTGAGCTCAACCTGTCACCAAGTAATTGAAATTTTATAATTTTAAATATAATTTGGTAACCAACACAACTTCAAGTATTTGTTCTATTTTGATTTTTCTTTTTAAAGAATACTGTTCTATATTAACTATGCATAAAATATAAATTCATTCTAAAGCCTTTCTTCTATTTATAAATTACTTATAACGACAGTTTTGATTTGTATGCACTTACCACATTGCCCGTTACTGATATATATAATAGTTGAGATCATAAGTCAATTGAAGCTAGAACACTACAAAATCTCTTCTGATACTAATTAAAATATGCTCACTAGTGAATGGTTTCAAAAGGTACATCCTGCAGTTCTAGTAAGAAGCCGTGACCAGTGGAGTTAAACCGGGTCTGGTGTGAAATAGTAACACACTGAAGACAATGATAGATGTGTCGCTCCATTTCGTGAATTAGTTGAAGTTAGACATTAACACCGTTGGATGCCGGTTCAGTGGTCTAGAGTTTAGGCGTTCGCGCGCGAGACCGACAGGTCCTGGGTTTCAATCTCGCCAGGTGTGATCGTGGATTCAAACTGCTGAAGAGCCTCCATAATACGACGAAACGGCCGTCCAGTGCTTTCAGGTTTTTCATGGCGGTCTAGCTTCAATCGATTCACGATCTCAACTATTAAAAAAGGAAATTACATCTCACTTCTCACTTTATAATGATTTACATTGCTTGCTTAGTTTTAAATCGTCATTTGAACCATTGAAATTAGAGATGATATTTCTTAGTACGATACACAAGCATGATCTTATAATTTCTATATGGATAATTTATGGCTAGTTTTTCTTCCTATTATTTGGTTGTTGTTTTTTCATTTTACCCTATCACTATTAGATCACATTTTGCATGTAAACACATCTTCCCAGCATGTACAATAACAATTATTCCATTCACTGATGAGCACCTTGTTTCAGAAGATGTCAACCTTTGAATAATTCATTTATTTTTTTGTTGTTGACTGATTGAATGAAAATAATTAGGCTTCTATTTTTAGTTTAATTTAATTTACTAAACAGATACAATTGGGAAACAATATCGACATTCATAAATAGAAAACTTTTGTTTAGAATATGCTTTGCATGTTATTAAATTTACCTGAATACAGTAACTATGTTTAAGTATATGTATATATACATTTATACATATTTATATATATAAGTGTTTAAGCTCATGCTATATTTATATATACACACATATATATATTTATTTATTACTTTACTCATTTAATGTATTCAAAGCATGCATTCAGTAAGAAAGACAAATATTATTTGACTGTTTATTAATTATATTTCTTATTCTTTCAATTATTTGGAAACGTCGGAATAAAAACAAAACTGATACAACAACATATATTACGTCATTTTGGGGATATGTATGTGTGTGTTGGATAAAAATATGACAGCTTCGTGCAATCAGAGCATTTCGTGGTGGTTATTCAAGTAAATTATGTGATATGAAGGAATGGAGTAATCAATCAAAACGTTATATCAATCAATCATCATCTAATTCACATTCATATCAAATAATAAATCATTTATCAACAAATATTTCAAAGAATAATGAAGAAATACTTACAAAATCAGTGGTTTGTTTGAAAGACGATAATGATGATAATAATAAAAATATTGGTGGTGACAATAATAAAGATAATAATAATAACGACTCTAGTACAGCCAATCAAGAAAAATAGTTTTACTGAATTTTTTCCCATAACTTTTAAAAAAGTATTTTATACAACCAACCAAAAAAATAGATCTACTATTATCATCTTAACTCTTAAAAAAACCAACTAACATTTATATAAACAAACATATTTATACCTTTTTGGGGATGAAAAGGAAATTTAATTAAATAAGTAATTAAGTAGTATTGTCACTGCTTAATTAACATTTTAAATTAAATTTTGCCTTTGACAAATTTCATTCGTGTTTTATTATTATTATTATCACATGTCTACCAAAACCATTTGTCATTATTTATTACATTTTTACACAATTATCATTCCTGTCTAATAATATTTACAATTATTATATATAAACAATTGTGATAGATCTTAAATTACATAAACATATTTCCTTTAGCATACAATATTACAATCTTAATGTGTATGTATATGTGTGAGAATTTGTATGCAATATTGAGATGAAACAATGAGCATAGCAAACAATATACATTATCTGAGAATTCAAGCATTATTGAACAGTTGATTATGAAGTAAGTGTTCTCTGATATATTTTTACTCATTCAAATTATGAACACTTTTCCCTCAACAGATATTATTCTATAAATAAAACTGAATAAGGCTGTGTGAGGTTACTATATATATACATATATAATGTTTTTTTATCTCAAAACACAAATACCTATAATAGATGAACTATATCGCCTTCTCTCGTATTCCTCTCAATTCTTCATATTTACAGTACAGTAACTATTCGATATCTATTATTTACTGTTTTAGTAATAGTTTTATTAGTTTTGAACTTAGTATAAAACAAAAATATTAACTTAGAAATAGAGTTGTAGAATTCCTTCAAATTATTAGTAACTTGTCATACTCACTAGTACGTCCATCTTGAAGTACATTCAATAAAATAACCTATAAGATTCTTTGCATTTTTAACCATAAAAACTCAAAGAATAATAGCATTGGTGAGGTTATTTGAACTGCTCTTTATATATATATATAACAGGATATCCTAAGGTTCCTCCAGTTAATGTTTTTTCTAAATTGTTAATTAGATTACTCATTTTTCAATAATATTCCAAATATTGAGAAAACCATTTTTTCCTCTTGTAGTTCAGACACCTAATTAGTTTGATAATATAATATTACCAAACAAAACAATACTGTACTTACAGACTTTCTATGTGTATGTATGGGACACATTCAATTACATAGATATTTCATCTTGCCATTTATTCTATCCAGTTTATTTTTTTTTATTTCTTTCATTTGTTCTTTCTCCTATCTTATGAAATTTATGACAACATATAATTAAAATGTGAACAGGAATAATAACAACTTTTTACCTATTTTATTTTCCCTTCCATTCTGTTTATTATTATTATCTGAATGGTGTTGTTTAAAAATATACATCATTTGCTCTTAATAAGAATACCCTAATTACAATTTCAATCAATTATTATTATTATTAATTTGATTATCTTGATTTCATTGAATCCAACTTTTTTTGTGATGATCAATTTCTCATTTAAATTTAGTTTAAAATGTCATATTATTTTTTCTAAAATTCTAAATAATGATTGTATACATTAGGTTTACAAATTTTGATGTATGAATTGAATATATCTTGCTTTCTCTCTATATATATAAATGAAGAAAACAAAATATATACTGTTATAAATCTTCTTATATTGATTACTTTCTTTTCATACTGGCTCCTCAACTCTGATTCGATCTTAATAAGAAAATAAATTTTTAAAAAAAAGACTTCTCAATCGAATTAATGAAAAGTGCATGCTTGTTATTTTCAAGTTGATACATTGTTCTCAAATGAGCAATATGACCTAGCCAAAATGAATAAACATTGTTAAGACTCAGACAATTCCTCAAGATTATGAAAATATTGAGGATGATCAATATTGGTAAAACTAGTTAATAACATGTTTCCAGCTCTGGGTCTAATTGATATCGTTTCAATGTAACACTATACTATCTATCAGGGAATCTTATTAACTATTTTAGTTATATTACGCCGATTTGTTTCAAACCATGATAATTAAACTAAATATAAGTGATTTCATGAATTACTGCTGATTTATTTTTCAATTTTCTTTTTTTCCAGGGTAATCGATCCGTATCCAAATAATAAAAATTCTTAATAATTGATTTAATTGTTAATTCAAAGATGTGCTTATCTAGGTAGAGGATAACACAAATGATAGCCAGATTTGCGAATAATTATTCTTTAATAGTTTCTAGCGATTAATCACTTTTAAATCCTAAATCATGTACTGATGAATAAAAGATGTGAATTTTCTCATTTCGCAAGAACTGTAACTCAAATATTAACTACTTTATTGAATCTATTGATCATGAACCTTGTGTTTACTAATGATCACTATTATCTGTGCAATCGTTACATATGCTTTTATATAACATTTAATTGAGTGTTTTCGTAAGGACAATAGGTTCTAGTTCTGTACTTTCCATGAAGATCGATGGACAAATAATAAGAATGACTTCTCGGAAAACTATGAACTACATTATAAGCACCACATAGTTTTACAATAGTCAAATGATAATTATTTTGAATTTATAGATATCCGTTTTACACTCGTAAAATCTTGATAAGACTATTCGTTATTGTTATTATTACATGTAATCAGTGGTATGATTATAGAAAGGATATTTTACAGGAAATAAGTGGAGAAACAACACTTTCCATGACGATTTCATCAATGTGCTCACAGAGAAATACTTATTATATACATAGGTAAACGTTTCATACTGTTACATTACTTTTGTCTAGAATCTATTATCTTAGCCGGGATCTTATCGAAAATTTTGTTATATCACATATCATTAAACTTAAAAACTATTCAAAAGGATTTAATAACCAGATGGTTGGGAGTTTGGTTCTTCTGATATCGTAAACGATTGAATCGAAGTTACTTTAACTTATTTCTTATTCAACATTTGGAGTCACATGTACAATCGTTACTGCAAACGAAAGAAACGTATAAGGGAAACTATCTTTAGTGATAGTCGCTTTTATTAGTTTAGGTAAGTAACGAACGTCATTGGAGTTGCATCCAACCCTTCTTTCGGATTTTATTTTACAGCGTTATGGTTTGTTTTCATTAACCCGCAAAAGTTCCATATTTACTCATTTATCAGTGGGAAAACATGCTCATCGACGTAAAGAAGGCAAAAGTTTAAAAACAAACAGATATCGGTTATCTACTACGTGACAGAGTAGTGAACTACTGCAAAGCTAAAGATGACACTTTAAACATTCATTCGGCCTACGCAGCGAAAACACATCTTAAGATAAACAATATTAAAGTGATATGGATAAGTAATTTATTGGAAGCTGCTTACTGCATTCGACAAAATTAACTTGGATTTCTTCTGAAATCATCAAGATAAGCTACATTAGAAGCCGAGATGTCTTACATCACACACTTATCGCTACTATGGATTATTACGGGTTTTATTATCTAATACTAACTTAAGCCCGTTTCTCAGTTAATATAATGCATACGCAAAATATTCCTAATTGAAGAAGACATTAATAAAGTACAACACTTCAAATTTTCGAAAAACCAAAATTGTTGTAATTGATAAACGTCAAGAGTTTAAGCGAAAAACCGTCTTTGGGAATTACAGTGCTCTTGTCAAACTCCAGTTACTAAAGATTCTTTTCAAACTGTTCCTAAGATTGGAGCGAAAGGAGAGCCGACAGTTTTCTTATTACGGTTAATGAACATCCCTGAACAAGTTAGAACTTCAATATTTCCAGGTTACTGTTTTTATGCAAATATCTCGGTAATGTTCATATAATTTTTCCTAACAGAGATTTATAATATTCCCGAAAATAATCCCTGACATAATTGGGGTATCCTCAAGACTGATGGTCTGTTATATTTCTTGACGCAACTTTTGTCTCTCTTGACAGTTCGTCAAAAGTGCTGATATATCAGGAGCAACATGACAAATATTCGAAAACCCAGTAGACGTCACTGTGTTAATGATTATAAGCTTGAAGTTTCAAAAATAAATGGACGGTAACCCTGAAAGTCAAATAGACAGCTTTCGTAATAATTGGACAGCTACATCAAGAAAGCCGTTTCGTTAACCTTTAAATGGTCATTAAGGAGTCAACTAACTATTGGAGTTGAAGCCAGCATTCATCAAACTAATCATCAGGTTCTTTTGAGTATGGAGATTTTACCCCTGCTCTCAAAACACACATACGTCCGTATATTTGCAGACACTACTGGAAAGTGGATGCGAGGTTATTTAACTGTGCTGACGTACGCACAGTCATCTCTGTTGACACTCTAACTGATTGCACCCTAGAAGCATGCAAGGACGGGTTTTATCAGTAACTAAGTGAACTCAAAAATAAAGATAGGAGATATTAAAGGAACCTAGTATAATAAGGGAACAACTAGATGAGTTACATTCAATATCAGGTATCAACCGGAGAGCGTAAACACAGACAACTCATACACAGTTCCCTTCACATATGTTGCAACTATTCTGGAAAGTTAATAGCTGGAATTTCTATAGAAATATGGAAAACCGAGTGTGCAATCTAGAAAGAAGCTATTATTGCATAGATCTATACATATGGCCAGTATATTAATATACGTGAGATATAGGTTTCCCACCGATTGAGTTTCGTCTGGATGACAATTAACGGGACAAATCACAGCGAACAATAAATTAACTGGCGAAACCAGGTCTAATTTCGTCGATACAAGCAGTAATGTTCGATAGTTACCCATTACTGTTACTTTCTTCGATATTGTCATCAATGATACTATAAAGTTTTAAAGTGGTTGGCGTGTTTGTTTCTTGGAGAAGCCCCTAATACCAAATATACCAATACCTGAAAAAATGGAGAATATTTAAATAAGTCTTTAGAAACCTACGACCGTTGCTGGCGCCTCTAGCTGTGAAAATATAATACTCAGTACCCAGAAGCCATTTTAAAAACTACACATTTTGTCTATCTTACTGAGAGTAAGCTTACTGTTCGAGTTACATTTAAGGATGACTTCGATGGGAAAGTAGGAAGGGATGGTGGACAGGATATAAACAGTCGCACTCTCAGACAAATAAAAAATACTTGTACTTGAGCAGGTCATTGAGGTATTTAGATCAAGCTGAAATACTCAGTGGATGTCTCTTATGTTGATTTCAGTCATGAATACTTATAAAATGACTGTACTGCATGTCTTTGTTTTGTAGGTTGCGTTACGAAACAGATGTAACGAAAGTGCCACAATCTACACACTATCCGACAGAAATAACTATCTCAGTAACATAATGACAATTGCAAGCGATCAAGAAAGAAACACCTAGTTGACGGCTTATCAATGAACAAAGTGTATATGCTTTTCAAGTTAAAGAAATAACTCCGCCTGTAGCTCCTCTGGGGGGTTACTACCGGTCCCAAGCCCGGGTAAAGGAGGAGGGTTGGGCATGGGGTTAGCGACCCCATCCCGTAGAAAATCAACTCGCTAAAAAAACGCTAACCAGAAAAAATCATTCAAACAATTTAAACTCTGCCCTGGGAGTAGAAGGAATAGTTATGACGTCTCATGATGAAAGCCGAGTTCCTTCGGAAGTCATGAGGCCGATGCACCTTCTTACAACCAGAGCGACAATTTTTATAGGTACATGGAATGTCCGAACAATGTGGGAGATCGGAAGTGTCTTCCAAATTGCTGCAGAAATGAGAAAATGCAACTTGGAGGTGCTTGGAATCAGCGAAACACATTGGACGCAGGTTGGACAACAACGACTGTCTTCAGGAGAACTTCTGTTATACTCCGGTCATGAAAAAGAAAATGCCCCACATACACAAGGAGTTGCAATGATGCTGTCCAGAAGAGCACAAAATGCACTTATTGGATGGGAATCTCATGGACCAAGGATCATCAAAGCCTCCTTCAAAACAAAGAGAGAGCATTACAATGAACGCCATCCAATGCTATGCGCCTACCAACGACTATGATGAAGACGCTAAAGACCAATTCTACGATAGGCTGCAGTCGATCTTCGAGAAGTGCCCAACCAAGGACCTGACAATTCTGATGGGAGATCTCAATGCTAAGGTTGAAATGGACAACACTGAATACGAAGACGTCATGGGACAACATGGACTGGGAGAAAGGAACGAAAGTGGTGAGATTTGCAAACCTATGTGCCTTCAATAAACTGATCATAGGTGGCACCATATTCCCACACAAAAACACACAAAGCCACTTGGATTTTACCGGATCACACTACACAGAATCAAATCGACCATATCTGCATCAACAAAATGTTCAGGAGGACAATGTAGGATGTGAGAACCAGAAGAGGAGCTGATATAGCATCCGATCATTTGCTGGTCGCCAAGATGAAACTAAAACTCAAGAAGCACTGGACAACGGCGCGGACAACATCACAAAAGTTTAATACGGCCTTTCTTCGAGATGCTGACAAACTCAACAAATTCAACATAGCCCTCAGCAACAGGTTCTAGGCCTTTCATGATCTACCCAATGGAGAGAGGACTTGGAGAACTACGAAAGCCATTATCCAGAAGATACAAGTGTTTATTAACAGCTGTCTACGCAAGATACTTCGGGTCCGATGGCCAGACACTATCAGCAACAAGTTACTGTGGGAGACAACAAACCAGATTCCAGCAGAGGAAGAAGCACTGGAAGTGGATTGGGCACACATTGAGGAAATCACCTAATTGCGTCACAAGACAAGCCCTCACATGGAATCCTGAAGGTCAAAGGAGAAGAGGAAGATCAAAGAACACATTACGCCGAGAAATAGAGACAGACATGAGAAGAATGAACAAGAACTAGATAGAACTCGAAAAGAAGGCCCAGGACAGAGTGGGTTGGAGAAAGCTGGTAGGCGGCCTATGCTCCGTTGGGAGTAACAGGCGTAAGTAAGTAAGTAAGCTTTTCAAGTATAGGACAAAATAATTATCAAATACTGTTAACAGTTTCATCTTAAAGAGTTATCAAAATACTGTAAAGTTCACGCTGAATATTATCAGCAGGGTAAAAACTATTGTGGTGTAAACTGATATCCACTTAGTCGAATTACGAGTACGCAGATGAGGTATTCCTGCTTGACAAAAGACAGTGACGAAGTGCAGCCTTCTGTCAAACTTCATTAAAAACTGTTAATTAGTTCTAAAATAGGTACAAACAATATTCACGAAATCGAATTACAAATGAATTGTTACCAGCTAATTAACAGATGATAAACTAATTTTATGAATACTGAAATCTAAAATGAAGAATCAAGTGTTTTTTTAAACAATTGTCTAAAATACTAAGAGGTATGTTGATAGCAGTTTCAAAGGGACCCGCTTGCTTGCAATTTATACGGAAAAAAACGTATACTCCCTGAATATTAACGCCTGAAAAAGTGTTACCTAGTAATTCTTTGTAACCCAATCTCTAGATTAGAAAGAATCCCGTAGACGCGGACGGAAAGTTGAGGTTTGCTAATTTATCGACTGACATTTATAGTGTCACTAAGTTGAGTCAAGTGCTGTCATCATAATTAGGGAGAAGTAGCATCATTATATGGTTGACTACTGAACATTTGCGGCAATGAAGATTGATCAGATGGACTGATATGTGGTAGTTCAGCGGATGAGAACTAATGACCTAAATATTAGACTATCGCCTCCCATATAGCTCTACGCAGACGATACAAAATAACGGCACAATGTAAATCTTAAATTAGCCTAGTGTTAAAAGCTATCAAAAACGGACATTCTCATTCACAGACTTTTATGAGTGTGTCACAGACAGATCATAATTTTAAAAACACAGGTAAAAAGTAAGTACGAGTTCTAAAATCAAATCATTTCGAAAGAAACGAATATCGTAATTTATATGTACAACAACGTATCTATCGTATCCATTGTATTAATACTCGGATAGTTTCGATCGCCAGAAGCAGAACCACAACAAAACATGGCTGAACATACACAAACATCAATGAGTTTGACAAGTTCAGTGAAAGTATCGTCTAAGGGTGGAAATATATATCAAAATAAAATATGATCAGCCAAAAGGCAGGTCTCAGGTTTGAAACTCTACAGGACCACCTACGATGGCAGAGATCTCTTCGCTGAGAAGAGAATGAAGAGACTTTCCATCATGTTTATAGATCCACAGACGCATCGACGGAATATAATCGTAACGTTTAGGGCCACTTTGAGGAGAAGAAAGCCATAACTGCTTGTTTGGGGCCTGACGATTAATAATATAAGTACCAACTTGAGGACCAAAAGTGATCTTTAAAACACCATAGGCGTGTTCGACATCATACTCTTTGTTTAACGCAAAGCGTTCCGGAAGTTGTTCAAAAGAGTCTGCTAGTAACTCCAGAGTTTTCGTAGACACACGCTCGTATTCAGCATCGGACAATGAGTTTGGGCAAGATATGTTAGTAAGTCTTATTTTAGCTACATGAGTAATGTATACTAAATCAAAACTTTTAATAAAAAAAGAATGAATACAAGTACAAGGTTTCCTCAAATGTTGGAATATAGTACTGTAACGCATGATTTAAAACACCTCCAACCATGGAACAAATACTCTTTAGTATCCAGCATCTTTCGGAACAGCTTGTTAAAACTAATGTACTCCCTGTACTTACCTTTTGATGTTTAGGTGGTGTGCATCCTTGTATACGCAGAAATGGCCCGGATTAGATTCTTGACCGAGTGACTTTCGTTAGGGGTGTGTCCAGTAAAATTAATTAGGCCTGCACAAATTTCTAAGACCTGCAAAACGATTTATTCCAGGGATCTGTTTACTAACACATATGCATTAGGTGCAGCTACTAAAGACATGAATTTGTCGTTGTCAACCTCTTTTTATAACTGATCACTGATGTGGCTGCGCACCCCTGTACTCATTCCAAGAGGCTTGTATCCGTTTCGCACTGATGGAGCAATAATATTGTGGGTTTCTAGATACCGATTCACAGTTTTTTATTCATCCATGGTGAGGACTTATTCGAACGTCAATTGACTTCGCTTACTCGCCAAGTTAACAATTCGTAGATTATCGTTGTAGAATAATGAGGCCAGGGCTAAATTGCGAACTTTAGTTTTGAGATGGACAAGCATAAAAGGACAGGTTGAATATCACTGACCGATTGCCTCCTTTTCAGTTTTGATTTATCACGAACGTAATACGTGTGAGCCACAAGTACGGACTACGTTAAAAAAGGAGTAAAGAAGTTTTTGCAAAAGCTTGAAGTCAAGATCAGAACTGGGCATGTCTTTTTTCTGCGAAGGTTCAAATCCTAGAGTATGACATCGGCCAGCGTAGTCAAAAGGTCTGTCCCTTTCAAGGATTTCACGAGCGCAATACTATTGTGCGCACTACACCTTCAGTATTTCAAACAGGCGTAAGTTGAGAAATCCGAACGAACAGTACTCAACGAGCAGTCTTACATATATCTTGTAAAGGATGATTCTAGATTCGTCTCTAAGGGTCTACGATTATTGAAACCGGTCAGTTTTCTTTTTCTAAATGCCTTAGTAGGGGTATTTTCAGAGAGGTCAGAAGTGCGCGAGTGATTCACTCCGAGGTCGCTTACTGACTCAGGCCCGAGCAGTGCGCTCTTGTCAAGTGTCAGTTTTATTTCAGCAGACGTGTCGCCAATACAAAACCAGCCGCCTCCCTTTGTGTTGTCTATTAAACTCTAGTGTTTACGTGAATTACCTACTTTGTCGGGTCCTTGCACACTTGGTTACATAATACTTTGTACGTTGCATATGTTAGTTATATAGATGCAATGAAGGTGTGGTTGTAAAACTAAGGTCTTTTTCGGTATTAGTACCTTTGTCTTTGCTACTGTATTGATAGACCTGATCCCAAAATTGTAGATTTGTTATGATGTGACTACTCAATCTATAGGATTTACGTGGAAGTCACACAATTGTCTTTAATGACCCATCCCATCGTGATACCAGCATTAGGATCCTTAGCACATCTAAAGAACACATTTAGACTGGAGATAGAACAATATATTTATCGTCAATGGGGCCAAGTTACACCTAATGGCCACGCTTATAAGTCTGAGTTATTTCATAATGATCAAAATGCTCCTGAGTTCACCAAAACCAACCTCTCCGTGCTAAATTTTGAATGTAACTTTTCTTAGTTATGTTGAGCTTCGATGAATGTATGGTTAGAAACGATGCCATTGAATGGTAATCGCAATATATAACCTCTTGCTTTCCTTACAAAATACATGATTCTCTTCCCATCGCAAATGTATTCTTCACTTATTAACACGATGGTACGAACCAGTCTGGTCAACGATGTGGCTTCCAAGTAAGGTCCGATCGATCATGTGATCACATCAAGGCAAATCCACAACTGTGGAATAAGCCAATCATTCTAGTAGCATTGCTACGTGTACGAATACTGGCCTAGACCATTATTTAGTAAAATTACGGCTCCTTATGGTCTAGAGGAATGTAACTAATCAATGGTATCGATGCTAGTTCACTTATATCTCTACAAAAATTATAACAACAAAATCAGTTATAATAATTTTGACGATAAGAAGTCATTTGATATCCGAACGCTGTGTTTTGCTTACCGGATTTTCAAGATATACACAATCATAAATTTTCAGAAAGTTGATTCACTTCAATCTATATAATACTTTGTTCATTAGAAACTATACTCTGGCTTGTTTTTTTTAACCCGATGAAATATATTTGCTTAGAAATCGGCCTATTACAGGATAATAAGTTTAAATAGTCAGGCGTCAAACATCCCGTCACTAATGACTAAACTTTAAAAGTCATGGGCACTGACTGCTCTGCTTAATAACCTTGCCTTCTCCTTTCTCAGTCTGAGCACCCTCACAGTTTACTAACGATAACATATATCGAACATATGACTTCATCCTGCGCCGTCATTAGTATTTCCGAAGTTTATCGGGGATCAGAAGGCACAAAGTAATATGTTAACGATGACGCCTTTGCCTGGTTGTTTATGAATTCACCTCATTACTTCCTACTACAAACATCTCTGGACTTAAGTCGTATTCATCCTCGACCAACACTCGCTTTTCTCAGCTCAACCTCCACAAAGTGCCCCAAATCTTACACTGAACGTTAGTCGTGCTACGATCATTATATATCCCCTGTTCATATAACCAGTTGGCCCTACAACACATGAACTCCATTGAGTAGAGTGTTAAGGCAAAACCAGCAGCATTCGCAACAATCTGAGCTTGCCTGAAAACTGACATAACACATGTAACACATTGCTATTTAAGAATATGTTGAAATTATTCTACAAATTCGCTCACTTTCATTCGTTTGTACGATACAATTAGAACGAAAATAATCAAGTAATTGGGTCACCAAAAAATACAAACCAAGTACTCATCGAAAGAAGAAGATGCGCATCTTTCAAGTGGGGAACATTGTTCTTTCTTATGAGAACAAATCACAGCTATCACTTTACAAAAAGACAACCAAATGAGAGAGACAATAATGACACCCCGTACGTTTGATGTGCAAATAAAACTTGACCAACTTTGGTAAACAGAGATGGATGGTGGCTAGCAGTGGAATCCGGGACACGCGTTTCGTCCTATTAAGGACTCGTCAGATGGATGTACCTGCATTTCAGAGTTGATGTTCACTCTGGTACTCGAACCCAGTACCCTCGCTTCAAGCGACATCGCGTTATCCACTCGACCACTGAGTCCTGATAGCCACTTGCTTGTGCGATGGGGTGAAGTTTAAATTAATTCAGTATTGTTTGTTTGGATCTTCCCATCGATTTGTTAGGACTGCAACTGATCAGTCTCTAATCGGCATATGTGCATACTGTGCGTATTGCCTCGATATAGCCTTAATTCACAAGCATGATAAGCAGAGATCGAGGCAATACGCACAGTATGCACATATGCCAATTAGAGACTGATCAGTTGCAGTCCTAACAAATCGATGGAAAGATTCAAACAAACAATACTGAATGAACTCAAACAACTTTGTTCGAAAAGACAGAAAAAATAATGTAGCAAATTAGCCACATCGAAATTGAGGTTCAAATAATTGTGATGGCCATATCTACAGTCAACTTTAAGCGAGAAGCTCAATTGAAGCTATAGACGAAAATAACCTGTCGCTATGAGACAAATCAGTTTATTCTTATAACATTATGTAAATATATGTATGGGTAGGAACCTGGTTAGGTTGGTAAAGAGTTGGCCACAAACATTTTAATAACGTCAAAACATTATAGTTCAAGTAATTATTTACCTTATATCGTATACGCATTGTATTCCGCATTTTTTAATATTGAAAGTTGAAAAACTTTGCGTACTTGAAGAAGATATCCTCAATGTTCAACTGTTCTGTTTCATGACGAAAATAAAGACCTATTCAACACTGGTGTGGTTCCTTCTATCGATGGAAAAGGAGTTATTCACTGACAGAAAATACAAATTTGCACGAAAAAGCACATATAAGCACAGATATGTCACCAAGGGGCCTTCTATTCTGATTGGTGTTTTTATCTCAAAACCCGGACGAGACCGTCCTAAAATTGAAGAGAACCAAGAAGTTATCATATATGTCCGAGTTTCCTACATTTGTGTCGTCGTCAAATTATAATTAGTATCATCAATTTATGACAGTAGATAAATGCCATTTTTGCAGGCACGATTTATATTTTAAGAATACGATTTACATCAAGAGTGCTACACAAGTACCTTTAGAAGAATCATATTAGTGAACGATCAAAAATTTCATTATTCAGTCTTCACAAGCATATATCGGCTAATTATTGAACAGATCTGACTAATTTAACAGCTAAGTTTGCTTTCATCATCGACCGACGAGGAGAAGGCTATTATGCTGGTAAATGCGTACGCTAAGATATTGGTCAACGTTAGGGCGTTAGATTTGTGAGTGTGTGTTATATATGTGATTCTGAAATTTAAAAAATAATGGATAAGCATCCTCAAAGATGCCCAAATGTCTTCAAGTGAACAAATAAAGGTACCTTTAAGTAGTTGACAATCTCATACCAGTTGCTTCCACTAGTATAAATTGTAGTTACAAAATCTGCAGATAATTTACACAGTTGAGGAACATACACATGAAAGATCTGAGACGGTCAGGTTAAATCCCTCCGTATGACACAAGTCTCTTTCGATCCATGTCTGGATAACGAGCAGCTATTAAAGCAATACACTTGTTTTACTTGCACTAATGTACCAGAAGATAATCAAGTCCTTCGAAACTGTTGCTCTGCCAACCACTTTTTGACACACTCGAAATTGGCAGTTATTCACTTAGCTACTTTTCCAAAACACGTTTGCAAGGTAGGTAACTTGTTCTCAACGTTTACTCCACTGACAGTCCTTTCCTCTTTAATGTCATCATTCATTTAGTAATAGTAAACTAGTGTTAAACAAGAACATCCTGTTTTTGAAATATTCTATTAAGACAGTTATGAGACAACTATTCATTATCTATTCCACCTCTACCAGATAACAAACCAAAGCCACATCACCTATC